CCCTTATACCCTCTAGGTTAAGCTCCCTTACGAGCCGGTAGAGGCGCTTACTACGAGTTAATAATTAGTAAAGGGATCTAAGAAGGCTTAGAAGTAAGCCGACGAAGTCTATAAATCGGAGAGAGAGCTAAATTCGTACTCTCGGCGGTCTCGCTACCGGCTTATAGAACTACCTACTCCTCTAAAGTTACTTACGCGTTTACGATATTATTATAGTACTTCCTTATATAGTTAAAGAGGTAGCGGTAGCTAAAGTCCTCTATAAGGCCCTTATTAAGCTCCTTCTATAGAGCCTAATAAAGCTCCTCCTCTATTACTTCGTACTAACTAGTTAGGAGCCGCTTTATAAGGCCTATATCCCTCCGGATACGGAAAACCGTCTAGATAGATACGTTAAACCTATCGATCTTTAGTATTCGTATAATTCGCTTATCTAAGAGTTATAGCTAGTAATAGTAGCGATAGATCTTAGCTCGTATTACTATAGAGTCCTATCTATTAACTATAAGCCGGTTAATATAGACGTCCTACTACGATAGATACCTCTTAAGGAGCCTAAGGCTAACGATAATACCGTACTTAGTAGAAAGGAGCTCTAGTATAAGCTCGCGACTCGTACCGCTATATTACTACTCCTTAATAGTAGCCTTATATAGCTTAAGGTTAATAGGACGGCGAGGTATTATTAACGAGCTAGTCCGCGAGCTAGTTTTCGTCCGGTCTAGTAATTATAAGCTAGTAAACTAGTAAGCTAGTATAAGTCTAGTAACCAAATCGAGCGAGCTAGCGAGCCGGCGAGCTATATACTAATTAGTAGGGCTCTAGTAGCGTAGAAGAGGCTTATAAATATAAGGAGCGGTGTAGTAAGTAGTATAGTAGTTAAGGTGTTGTGGAAAAGTGGTTAAAAAAAGCCATTAAAGACACTACGCCTCGGTCGTACCTAGCGCTTAGGATAACGATATTAATAGTACGCTAAGAGGTAGATCGATTCTCACTCCTACGGCCGAGCAAGATTACCCATGTCGAAGGCTAAACAATTAGTAATCTACAATAATTATCGGTGAAAAATGGACGGCATGGAGAGGTTAGCAGCGAATTATGCGAAGAGAGAAAAGGGACCTCTACTGTCGACCAGCAAGCATGCGAGCTCGTCATATAGCACCAGACCGACTACAAGTAATGAGATCGAAGTCAAGCCTCACAGGCAGCGAAAGTCGAGCAAGACCAACGGTCGGTAGTATATACGCTGTTGCTAGTTCACGTTAATGCTAAGAAATGCTAGCAAAACCCTTCGACTCCTCCCACATATCATCACCATTCCTCGACCCGTCGATACTCGAAAGGAAAGTCCAGGCTGCTCAGAGAGGCAAGCAAGATGGATAGCAAACGTGTGACCGGCTTGAGTGGTTTGAAGAGTTAACATGGTACAACGGCCTATCCACACGAGCCCCGTTTGCAGACGGTTGCAACAAACCATCTCGTCCATAACGCCTCTCCATGAATCTTACATCGACCCATGAGCCTAACCTTTCAGACCGTCGATGCGCCTTTTGATGATCATGATTTTGTTCCCTTCCCACCCACGACCCTAACTCATCATGCCATACCTTGGCTGACACCTCAAGCCAGATTGTCACTCCTGTCCACCCACACATCCTCCAGCTCAGCGAAATTCTGGAAATGAATGCTCCGGTGAACATCGTCATAGAACCGCTTCGGTACCCCAACACCCACAAACAGCCTTCCCTTCTCGCGATCACCGAATCCAGACCCAAGGAAGCTCCAGTTCCAGCGCTCGTCTTCGGGCACGAGGAAGTACCCACGGATCTTGTCTGAGAGCAACAGCTGACACTTCTCTCCGAAGCCTTGCGAGGGTGAGAAGCCGGGTGGCTGGTCGGAAGACAAGTCCTTGTTCTCAGCACCCCACTGATAGCCCGATGGAGTCAATGACCAGGCAGACAGAGATACAGAGCCAGGTGTGAAGTTCACAGTCATAGTGACGGTCTTGCGGTCCCAGCTCTGATGGGCGGCCATGAGGCGGGCGTGCTGCGTGACATCCTGGGCGGTCATGTAGCTCGTCTCATTGCCGGCACTAGTGTGGATGATGCCCAATGGCTCCAGGTCCTTTAGCATCTCATGCTCGGGCAGGTTGCGAGGCAATTGGATGTCGCGAGTGCTGCCCACTTGCGGAACCATAACGATGGTCTTGATCTCTTTCACCTGCTTGTTATCCTTCGGACTCGTGCCGTACAAGTATCCGGCAACCTGGACGCGCAGATCGGAAATGGTGATGAACCGCTTCAGAATGTTCTTCGGCATCACATAGGTGAAGTGATCCTCGTCGTCCCGAATGTCATCAGAGGAGATGTAGATGTTGTTCGCTCTCGTCCTGAGGTTGCCAGTTGCGATGGCTCTGGTACGCCACTCTGTCTTCGATGCAAAGCTCTGCTGTTCGTACGCTGACGTAGTGGTGACAATCATGTCCTCACCCTGGACGTTCTGGGTCTTAGTTGTCACAGCGGTGAGCTGCCCCTGTTCCTGCTGCTGCTTCTCGATTTCTGCAGCTTGCTGTCTCTGCATGCTGGGCGCGCTGATCTCCATTCCCAGAATGATGTCTCGGATCTCACTGTTGGTCAAGGAAGACGTGTTGACGTTGTTCTTCTTGCCGTAATCGTTCAAGATTAGGTCGCGCAACTGCACTTCGACCTTGACCCAGTCTTCATCGGACAGCGATGGCCAGATATGGTGCTCTTGGGTGATCACCGTCTTGTCTGGTCGCAAAAGCAGCTTCGTCTTGTCCTGGTTCACATGTAGTGCACGCAGTATGAGGATCAGACGTGAGAAGGCAGTGTACGACGAGATGCTCTTCAGCCACTCGTCGTAGAGGTTGAATAGCACCATCTGAGGCTCGGTCGCACGCAGAATCATGTCACCAAGCTTCTCGACCTTCATGGCGGCTTGGAAAGGCAGCTGAAGCTCTGACGCTCGGATGCTGATGTTTGGGAAGTCGAGAAGATGCACCTCAAGCGGATCAAGCAGACCTTTGCGGGTCACGATGAGCTGCTTCGGCTGCTCTTCCACAGGCAAAGATCGAATCAGAGCAGCGACTTCTTCGGCGGTCTTCCATTTAGCCAATTGGCCCAACCGCTTCTGGCCAGCCCAGACGCTGGTGTGGATGATCTTGAGGAACAATTGTCCAGTCCGTGGGTTGAAGATGAAAATAGCTCCATTGATGGGCTTCGTCGTCAAGTTGCCTTCGAACGTCTTGTGAATGGTGACCCGGTAGACGTTCGTGTCGTCGATGAAGAGCTGGACCTGGTTGCTGAACAGTTCGGAATAGTTCTGAGAATTGAGGAACTCCTGGTTACTTTCAGAAGCGTAGAGCTGTAAGCCCTTCCTGATGCGCTCACGGAGAACGTACAAGGCAGGGTTGGCTTTCATGATCTTAGCCATCGCCTGCTGCACAAGCTGCTTAAGACCAGGGAAGTATTGGCCGTAGGCAGAGTACAAGTTGTACGCCAAATCGACCGCCACCATCAACCCAGTTGCTGAAGGGTAGATGGACATGGAATCGGTGGTGTAGTCGAGGTATTTCGCACGCACGTACCGCTCGATGTCGTGGCTGTCGTAGTCACCATATCGCAACTGCACATCGATCCAGAACTTGTTCGTCGTGGTCATGCCCATGTTATCCTTGGTATCGTAGAGCAAGCTTGGGTTGCTGACCGACCATTTATGCGTCGCGAAGAGCAGAATGTCAGCGCAGGAAGAGTTCATCTTGTAGCTCTTACGAGGATGGATGGTCTCCTTCTGCACCGTCTCGATGCTCAGCGCTTCCAGCTCCTGGTCGAAGACCTGGCACAAGTCCATGACCACGCTCTCGTGGATCTTCTGCCACAAATGCGCTCGGAAGATCTGGATCAAGCTGATCTTCAGGGTCGGAATCTTGCCGTGCAAGAAGATGCCGGTGAGATCAAGTTGCACTTGGAAACCAACATAGACGTTGGCCCTGTTGATCGTGGGTGACCACCAAAGCGTGAATCTCCTGTTGGGGATTTGGTTCAAACCAGACCGCTGCGCGTTGGTGAGCTTTTTGAACTTCATTGATCTGGAGAAGGATTAGCAGAGGCATCACAAGCAGCGGGACAAGCGGTCACTCACTCTTCGAAACCAGAAGCCTTTTCCCAGAAGAGCCCTTCCCAACTTGGGAAAGCAGTAGCCTTGAATAGAGTGTGCTCCAGAATCGTTTCAACACCACCCAGCGCCTGAATCACATCCGTTCGATATGCGTTCAAATTCCAGAGTTTGCCGTCGTGTCGCTGGGAGGTCCACCAGAATGGGTTCCTGCTAAGCGTCAGTATCGCCGATAACCCTTGCCATACTCATAGGTGGTGACTTACGACTTCATGTGCTGGTAGATCTTAAACTCCATCCTCGCCCTGAAACCCTTGTCGAAGCTCAACGTGCTCCTGTCCTTCTGGAAGAGCGTGTTGATGCGCGGCAGACCTCGATCCCAGCTATCTTCTAGATCTTCCAGTGTCAGCCGACGATTCTGCTGGTTCGCCTCAAGCCGCTTCTGCGAGTACTCCGTCCACACACGCTGGGAGTCGATGAACTCGGCTTCCCAGGGAATGATGTAGCGGAAGATGTTTGGGATAAGCGTCTCCTCGTCGTGGCTCATGCCGGCGCGATAGTGCGTCACGCCAGTGTCAGTCTGCTTGGACCAGCGCTTGTCGGAGGTTGGGATGAGGATATGGGAGCCGGAGATCATGCCGAGACCTCCTAGTTCTTTAGGAGTGTAGAAGACGGCCGGTGGGAAACGGGAAGGCATCTTCGAGTTGAGACCGATCTTGACACGAGTCTGAATCTTGGTCTCGCACTTGACGATGGTGTCGAGGAGGTTCACAGTGGCCACAGCGGCTTCTCGGTAGTAGGTGAAGAGGGCGATGAGCGTGGTGTTCCACTTGTTCGCGATCTTGGTGAAGGTCGTGGAGCCAGAACTCATCAGAATCTGACGGATGCGATTGTTGAACTTCTGGATGTCCTCTTCGGTAACCTGCAGGAAGGCGTGGGCAGTCCGCTCCTTAGTAGCATTGTCTACCAGCGCCCAGACGCTGTCCTTAACCTGGAACTCATCGTTCAGATTCCGCGACTTTGGCAAGATCCTCACCTCGAACCCATTCATGCTGTACAGCAGGTTGGGGTTGTCTCGCGAGTACACGCTGGCGAAAGTATCATCCCATTCGATCGTAGTCAGAGATCTGGGCAGACGGTTCTTCATGTCCCAGAACACAGCACGACCGAGGTTGACGTCGTGCCTCATCAACCGCATACGGCTGTCGCGCGGCCAGCACTTCTTGTTCTTATAGCCGATGACATTCTCAAAGTTCGGGTCTGGCTGCTCGGTCAAGAAGCGCTGTATCAGGTCGCGGCTCTCCTCGCCTGTGAAGCGGAAGAACATCCAGATCTTGTCAACGTAACGCGTGTAAAGCCGGATGGGATGCCTGCTCTCCGTGGCGCTGTCTCGGAACTGTAGGAAGTCGTTTGGCGAATTGGGTGGTCCGGCCATCTCAGACGCTCGTTGCAAACCAAGAAGCAGCAGATCGATGATCAAGCCGTAGTACTGAAACACGAAGCCGCTGAATTGCAGACCGCGGATCATACCGTAGGCGTTCGTGTGGTTCATGTCCTTGTAGTTGAGCTGCACGTTGTTCTTGCTTGAGATGTAGTCGGCCATGTTGTGATCCATGATCAGTCTCAGTAGTCGATTGAGAAGCGTGATGTCGATCTTCTCGTAGACCTTGTCCAGCCGCGTCTCCATCATGACATTGCACTCGCCCTCGTCAATGCCCCAGACGTTGGTCAGGTTATTGATACCTTGCGCCCACTTGTACGTAAGCAGTGGAGGGACCTCGGAATCGGAAGGCTTGATCCATGGAGGAAAGAGGCGCCGCTGGTCGGCTTGGTACCACAGATACTGGTCGAGGTATGCATCGGTGATCTTCTCGATGGGCTCGATATCATAGACTGGGTTGATCGAGCTGTAATTGTCGTTCATGTCGATGCCGACCTCCTTGAATGCTCGCTGAGTGAGTAGGAACCGCTTTATCCGGGCAAGGGTCGTGCCAGGCGAATCATACGCTTGCTCGATCAGGGCCAGCTCCTCTCGCTGCGACTGGTTCAGGCGGCCTTTGACACTGTAGGCTTCCCGCAAGCGTTCGAGCGCAAGAATGAGAATCTTCGTGTCGTGCTTGTAGCTGACACTAGGGAAGGGGATGGGCTGGAACTTCCTGCTCTCCAGCCAGTGTACCGCCGTTGTGAAAATCGCCACACCTTCTTCGGTGCTCACGTACGGACCATCCTTGAGATAGTTGTGCTGGCGCTCCTGCTCAGCCTTGAGCCAGAGGCGAGTCAGACGGCCAAGATTCTTCTTCGCCACAGTCTTGTCGACCGTTGCTCCTCTCCGAATGCGCTCGCGGTTGTAGTGCGCAACGCTGACCCACCAATCTGCTTTGCTCTTCACGTACCGCAGGATGATATCCTCGATAGGCTTAGGCAGACCGGGCACCTTCCACGGGATGTTCGACTTCCAGCATCGCCACGCTTCGCTCAAATGCTGCAACACAGTGTTGACCTTGCTCTGCTTAATACCTTCTGGCATCATGTCCATCAGATCAGCCATGACAGATGCTCGCAGTTCCAGGTCGAAGTGCGACTCCACGCGCTGCTTGGTCACTGTCTTTGCTACACCCTTGCTGTGCCGACCCTCGAACTGCCTGCTCAATAAGTTTCCGAGCCATCGCTCAAGCAGAGGAATGATGCCGCGTAGGAAGAAGAGCCAGACACGCCATGCGGGAGCCCAGAAACCGCAGCCAGGTCCTTTGCCGACCGGGCCTGAGTTGAATCGGTAGTAGATGAGATGCTTCAAGTCTTTACACGACCGAATCTGGTGCATCAGCTTGTACTTGTAGCGGTACATACCAGTGAGCTGACCGACGTGATTGAACGCGTAGAGGATTCCATCGGCAAGCTGGAAGGCGTCGATGTTGCCCAACCGGTATTGCACCTGCGCATCGACGATGAGCTTCGTCAAACGCAAGATCTCGCGCATCAGATGGAAGGCGTTTCCAAATCTGCTCTTCTTTCGCTCCTTGGTAGTCAGGGTCTTGATCGGCTTGAGATTGAAGTTGTAGTCAAGGTGCAAGTATGTCAAATTCTTCCTGTGAATGAGCAAGTTCAGCATGTTGAAGCCCTGTCTGCACACCTGCAAACCAGCTTCTACCCAATCGATGGTGGTCTGCTGGAAGAACTTCGTGCTCTTCAGACTCCTGCAGAGGTTCTGCTTGTTCTGCGCCTTCGCAGGCTTCTTGTGCAGCTCGTTGAGAACGTAGGTCTTGAGCAACTTCTGGTAAGACACCCGCACCTTGACTGGCTGACCGGCAGGAACATGCTCGAGATACCACTGCTTGACCAGAGGCACGTCTTGCGCTCTCACCATCTTGCCAGACCGCCTGTCGAATGGATATGGCGCCCACCACAGCGCAATGCCAGAGGCTGTGTCCTCGTTGTACAGCTCATCGTCGGCCATGAAGGGCTCCACTTCATCAGGTAGGCTGAAGCCACCCTCCTCCTCATCTGTCTCCTCGTTGTTACCGTAACCAAAGATCTCATCTTCGTGGCTGATGGTGAGATTCTTTGGCGCTACTGAACGGCTGGAGATCGGGTTGATGACAGGGTCGAAGTAGAATGCGGGTAATGAGGGATCTTCGGTCTTGACGTAGACGGTCTGGGGATGGCTGTAGACACCCAGCTTCACGCTTCGAGGCAGACTGTTGTAAAGGAACGGGTAGGCGACACGGTATTCAGTACGGATGGGTGCGCGGAAGATGATGCGATCGATGGCATTGAACTCGCCAAAATCCTCGTCATTCGGGTCGACATCCTTGTAAAGAGGCTCGAAGCGTGGACCGCCCGGTATTGCGACGTTGAGTGCCTTCGCAGTAGCAAATCCAGGCAGGTCGAAAAGATGGAAGTAATTCTCGTCGGTGATGTCGGATAGCAGAGGATTGCTTAACCGATGCAGGGTCGCCATTTGCGGCAGAGATAGGTTCCACTCCTTGTAGCTTGGACCGTTGACATGGGATGTATCGGACAGCGGTCGATGATCGTAGAACCACTCGAACACAGGTCCATCTTCATCTTCATCCAGCTCCATCTGGATTGGCTCCAAGGGCTCCACGTCCTCAATGTTCTCACTCCAGCTGAGCGGAGGCTCTTCATCGTCGAATGGTGGGAAGCGCATCCGCTTGAAGTGTCTCCGATCGCTTTTCTCCCGCCTCATCACCACCCACATCGTCGCCCATTGCGCATGAAACACCGGCTCAATAACTCGCGGTATCTCGTTGACCATCGTCAGGCAGCCGTTGACGTGGTACAGCACCTTGACTTCTCTTGCGCTCTCCCACGGCATCGGCATGTTCTCCAGGAGCTTCAGCACCGCATGAGGCATGAACTTCAGCGCACCCAGATAACTCCTCTTGTCTGCGCTGAACTTCTTTTGCGACACGTCTCCAATGTCTCTCACGATCTTCCGCAGATGCTCCGGCGGCATGTCAGCCTTTTGAGTCTCCACAAAGCCTCCTCGCCGCTTCTCGGAGAAGCGCTGCCGCTGACTGCGCAGCCATTTTTGCTTCTTCTCCTGCAGCTTCGCAGCGGCTGGATCCGCGGGAGGAGGTGGAGGAACTGCCGACAAGCCTGGAGGTGCTCCCGGGGGAGGAGGCGGTGGACGCATGTTACCTGCCCAGCCTGGTGGTGGTGGAGGCGGTATCGAAGCCATGTTGATCGTCACTCACTCGAGGCAGAAGGTTGTTCAAGTTGGCTCGGCGTGCTGCCGGCCTCTCGCGGTAGAGATGACTCTCGACAGGACCCCGAGTACCCGCCTTCAATGGAGTAGTCGTCGTTGTCGGCGCACTCTCGCCGGTGCGGCAATTCGATGGCTTGGAGATGTCTTTGCTGGTGGCAGAGGTGTTTCTGAAAAGTGCAAGATGCAGCACGAGTCATTGGCCGGTCACTAGCGTCGGTGACTCCCGGCAGTCTTGGCATGCCCGCACCGAAGATTGGATTTGTGAAGACAACATCAAGCCGACGACACCTCACTTCACACCCCATCGCATACCACGACAACACCGCCAAGATGCCTTCCAACAGACTCACATACGTACGTCGCTCTCATATCCTAGGAACGACCTGCGAACATGAAGGAGAGGAGGAGCGAAGACTAACAAATTGCAACAGCGAAGACGGCAGCCATACAACACCAAGTCGAACAAGGTCCGCGTGACAAGGACCCCCGGCGGCGAGCTCAGATATCTGCACATCAAGAAGCGAGGCACTGCGCCCAAATGCGGTGACTGCGGCAACAAGCTCTCAGGCGTAAGTCTTCATCAGCCTTCGAAGCCAGCAAACTGGGGCATGAATTGGAGATCGTGTGGAGTGCCACCAAGAGAATGCGGCAGAGCGCGCGAAACACAGCCAGAGGGACACGGGTTACTGACCGCTGCTCCTGACATAGATCCCCGCCCTGCGCCCTCGCGAATACGCCACCATCTCCCGCCCCAAAAAGACCGTCCAGCGCGCGTACGGCGGCTCGCGCTGCGCCAACTGCGTCAAGGACCGCGTCACCCGCGCCTTCCTGATCGAGGAGCAGAAGATTGTGAAGAAGGTCATGAAGGAGGCGGAGAAGAAGGGGGGCAAGAGGTAGAAGGGGTCTCACGCGCGGTGTTTGATGGGAAGGAGCCGACCATGATGCATGGGCATGATATGCGGCGGCGAGTAGCTAGTAAGGCTCGCTTTCCCAGAGCTCTGAATGCTTGAGCGGATGGAGAGCTATACATGAAATGACTTCGTGCCGTCGCAGATGCAGGACCAACTTTCAACCTTCGCGGTATTATTCCTGCTCGAATATCGTAAACCACTGCGCTCGCGCTCACTTTGGGAGCGGTTCGCTCGAGCATCGCCGGGATCTTGTTCGAGCACCAGCTGATAACGATTCTTGCAATCGGACTGGAAAATGGTCTGTACATTCACATCTTGTTGCTTCATCGCCATTCATGTCTACAAGTCACTCGGTCCCAGCACCCCTCGTGATTCAGTCCAAGCACCACACGCAAGCAAGTAACAAGCCCAGCACCGAGCATCACACCTTGAACTCATACCCACCCATCCCATCCAACCCACCAAGACTAGGCAATTGCAACTGCAGATTCCCGTCCAGCGCCCAGCTGAGAGGGTCAAAGACGGCATTACCGCCGAAATTGCCATCCCAGCTCATTGGATCGTCCAGCCCACCGTCGAGACCGGATCCGAGCAAGGGGTTCACAGCCCCGCCCATCGGGGGCTGCGGCGTGTTGCGCGAATTAGTGCCTCCTGGTACAGCAGTGGGGTGGTCGACAGCATGCTCGAGGTTGACCGTCTGCCCGACTTGCTGCCGCCATCGCCATATCGCGTCGTAGAGGACGGAGAGTGACGAACGGCAGCGCACACGGAGTTGCAGGCTTTCGTCTGCTGGTTTGGCCGTGCCATCGGAGGTGAAGAGGCCCTGTTGGCTTTCGCCGCTCGTTTGCCACAGCTGCGCCATCACTTCCGCCAGACGTTGAGGCAAGTCGTTGCTTCGGACGCTCAACTTTCGCAGCCCGGCAACGGTCTTTGAGAAGAGGATGCGTCCGGAAGAGGCGTCGACGTGGGTGGCGTAGAAGGAGTTGAGAAGCTTCAAGAGGGTTGTCGCCGCGGCGAGCATCATTTGTTCGATGTAGCGGGGCAGGTACATGAAGATGTTGGCGGGAAGGTCGTTGACGGCCGTGAGCATGCTAGACGCGGCGATGTAGACGTTCCGGAGGTCAGCGAGGTAGTTCGGTTGAGATGGTTTATCAAAAAAGGCCGAGAGTCGGAGATGGAGGGCGGCAGCTTTGAGGTAAAGAATGTCGATTGCTGGGAAGAGCGATTAGCTTGATTTTGCGTGGGCAGTGGAATGGAAACTCACGAGACGATCTTGTTGAGAGCGTAGTCAGCTCAAGCTCACCAAGCTCGCGAGCATACATGTCAATCTGAAGGCCACGCTGTGCCTTGTCCACTTCCACGATATGGTCACGCTGCATAGTAAACAGCGTCCGTGTTACTGTATCGCAGAATTTCTCAATCTGACAGCGAGTATGCAGCTCCGGCTTCATCTGGTCCAGATGCAGGCCGTAAGTATACCACGCCCATCTAGAGAGTGGCGGCTGGCCTTGACCTGTAGCGACATTCTGCGCGACAATGTTCACTGTCGCCCACGTGTGCAGTCGGTCGGTAATCTCCTCCTCGCGCAGCTCAATGCGGAACCTACTAAAGTCTTGCGCGTGGCTGGGGCGGTGGAGGCCATACTGCATAGCGAGCTGAAACATTGCACCAGTCAGCATCATAGTCGGTTCGCCGGAGGTGGAAGAGTTCGGCAGAGGCCATGTGCAGAGCAGTGCCAATGCTTTGACGATATGGTAGGTCTGCGGAACTCCAGACAAGGTGGTCCATAAAAGAGATTCCAGTGGCTGTTGCAATTCTATCAGAAGACCTGGCTTGGAATCGTACCGCCGGCAAGCAATGGCAAGGACAGTCCAATGTAGCAATGGGTGGTGCTTGTAATACTCGCTGTAAGGTGTCTCGGGGCTCAGGATTGGTAGGAATTGGTGGTAGCAATTGAAGAATACACTGAACAGCTCGCTGGTTTCCTGGTCAGTGAGCGTGACGTTACCCAGAGTTCTCGTCGAAGTTCCTGGAGTGATCGAAGGATATGTCAATGTCGGTCGCTCCTGGTAGCCTTGACTCAGATCGAGCAAGCTTCGAGATGCTGCAGCTTCATTCGGTCCCATGAATGGCGCACCGGACATCTGCGCGACTGGAGCCTGACCGGTGGGGGACGTCGCGTATGACCCGGTGTATGTCGAGCTTGCCGTGTTGCTAGCCTTCGGTATTGTGACACCCATCGCCTCGAGTTGCGCAAGCTGGTCTTTGCACTGTTCGAGCTCCCGCGCCATCTCGTCATGCTGGGCTCGCTTGCCCAGTCGCTTGAAGTCATTGTCGATGGAGCAGCTGAGGTTGTGCTTGATACATCGCGAGCAGGGTTTGTATGGCGGACCGGCGTCGACATTGCATCGCAGCTGTATACACGATCGTCGTCAGCGCATTGACTCATATGCCGAAACAGCTTTGGTATAGCTGTTGTGTACGCCCATAGGCTTTGCTGTCCTGCCTATGTCACCGTCGCCGTCATATGGACTGCTCACCTTCTGCTGGCGACAGTCGTTGCACGCCCTCTTCACCCCCGGCTGATGTCGCTGCTTCGACGTCGTGGGGCTTCCATCGTCGCCGTTCTGCAGCGCCAGTGAGCTCCTCTTGCGCTTTCGCGGCGACAGGTCGTCTTCCTGCTGCGCGTCCGACGGCGAGCCTTGTATCGGCGACTGGACGGGTCCCGCCGGATCGAACGATTGACCGCTGTGCCAGTTGGACATTTTACGTTGGTGCTGTGGGTTGCGGTGGCTTGGGTGGTGCACTCCGACGTCGGGAGGGACATGCGCGCTCGAAACGAAGTTCGCTCGAGGAAGCCGGTAGCGTTGCGAGATCTTAAGGCGGGGTCGGACGTCAGGTGACGGCACTTGCGACAAGCAGCTATATTCACATGCACCGCACTCTTCGACATGACATGGCATCGAGGGACGACTGTGCATTAAACTAGAAGCAGAAGTGGCGAAGTTCCAGCAAGGTCTATCAAAAGTCCAGATATGCAAGCTTTCGCAGCGCCCAAAGGATTCTCTGCCACTTCCTAGGTATGGTGCGAACAGACGTTCGGATACTCGTCTAACAAGACCGAGCGAGCCCGGGCGCACTCGAGTCGTGAAAACGCCGGCCATGCTTCCTCCCGGCGTGTCGTTCTTACCAGATCATCGCTTCTTCCGCTCAGGCAATTCCGTCTCCTTCATCGTCCCTGACACCATGCCGCGCATGCATATGCTCGCTCTGATTGACGCTCCCTCTCCAACCGCGAAGGTATTCTGCAGAGTTCCGTTCGAAGCATTCAGGACATCCGTAAGCGCAATATCAGCGGAGCCCATCTCCTTCTCACCATTCATCAAGGTCAAGCGGAATGGTTCGACTTTGCTGCCAACCATGTCCGCGCTCACGGGCATGCGACAGCAGTAGTCGAAGGAAGGGTTGTTGATGTCAGTTCCGGGAGCGTCGGTCTTGACCTGGAATGGCATGTGAAGGTTAGCCAAAGTTTCTGAGATTCCCAGGAGGTATGGGTGTTTGGTATGGAAGTTGCTTTGAGCGATACCCAAACATTCATCTGACGTACCGCAGTCTGAAACCGGTGTTTCGATCCCCAGGTGACCACAACGCTGGGCGTGAGCTGGTCTCGCTGCCCCTTGATACCATTGGCGCTCGCGATGAGGACGGTGGCCAACCCGCAGAAAAGACCATCGCCCTTGTGCTCGGAGGAAGAGAAACTGCCCCCGTTGTTTTCGAACTTGAAGAACTGGCTCCCGATTGACAGCCTTCCGTCCGTTTGTGCGCCATCACTCAGCAGGGTAAGCTCCTGGTTGCCGCCCGCCATAAGCAGCTCTCGCACCGTGGTGACGCCCATGCCGACTTCGTCATTGCTTTGGCCGTTGTCAGCTAATTCGATTGTAAGAGAACGTGGCAGTTTCCAGACACTAACCTGTTGACGTCCTGATCTTCCACGACAATCTTGATGCATTGGTCAAAGTCTGACACCACAAAATCATGAGTCTCGTTCCAGGCTGGCTTGACTGTGTTGTCCTTGGTGGTCGTCTTCCAAGCCTCCTCAGCACCGACTTCGACTTTGGCGAAACAGTCCGGATGAGCCCGTGTGATTTTATGGAACAGCTTCTTCGCCGTCCCTTTGGACTCTTCGGCGAAGCCCCAGGCCTCCTTCACGGTGATGCGGATGATGCCGAGAGGATAATGGTAGGTCTTGAAGTAGTCGCTGGTGGCATCCATCTTGACCAGGTAGCGGTTGGGCAGGGTGAGCATAGAGTTGATGATGCCGAGGATGGCATTTCTGACAGCACCATCGATAGCGGAGAAGTCAGCTACGTTCGCGGCGCCTGTGAAGTCGAGTTTGAGTATAGGAGGATTAACGAAGGACACCTGAGCTGCTCCAATCTGACGCAGACATAAGCATAGGTAGAAATGTCAACGATCTTGCGACTTACCAGAGGTATGATGTTGGTCAGCGGACAGAGCAAGACAGATAGCCTTCCATAGAGCTCTACACTTTCGACGCCCTGGCAGCCGAAGCACGCACTTAGCGTATGTTCTCTGACAATAATGAGACGCTGAGTGACGTACCAACGCAGGCATCATGTCTGCGTCCATCTCGACGTCAACCTTGCTCTCCCAATCAACGTTCATGTCAAGCTGGTGCAATTTAGTCGGGAGTTCACCAAGCGCAGAGGATAAGACTCTACCTTGATGCCATCGATCTCCGTCTTGGTAACCTTTACGTTAGAGAATCTCAGAGGAACGTAGCCCAGATCGATCTTGGTGAAGTGGAGGGAAGAGAGCGGACCTGGAGGTAGAAGCACAAGACATTAGCGAACGATTGGAGACTTCAGGTACCTCGTGAGACATACCAGGGAGCATGGTCTTGAACATCGGCTCGACAATCTCCTTGATCATCTTGCTCCCAGCAGCGTTGATATTCGGCCATAGTTGAGCGACCAGTTCGTTCAACCAGCCTGATAGCGTGAGCATCACATCGATTAGAATGCTTCAAGGCAGCATACCTGCAGGCTCTCCTTGACCCTCCGCTGCGGCACAGAAGCATTAGCCATTGTGCGCAAGTGAACGATATTTTCGATCAGTCCACGAAGATGTATCGCTCCTGAAATCAACGCTCCGAATGCCTACCTGTCAACTTTTCCACAAGACTTGACATTCTGCCGAGCTCAAGATGGTTTTAGGAGAGGAAGGGATGTGAGGCTCTCGGCCACAGGTTTAACCAGCTGGGCGATGTTTCTTTGAAAGGATCTATAGAATGGAGTTGTGAAGATTGGTCTGGAAGCTTGGAAGGAGTGTTTGAGTATATGCATCGACCAGGTTTCTGAGCAAGCCCACCTCGCCAGCGCGACGCTTGACCTCATCGTGCTTGCTGGACACACCGATAGATCGCATCCTGAAGAGCCGCATCGCCATCGTGGGCGTATTGATGTACCCTATACAGAGGGCACTGTGTGCAAAGTTCATCCATCTGAACAGCTCCCTGGCGTCGAGACAAACGATGGACGTTGTTCTTGTCAAACCTAAAGGAAGAAAGACGAGATGATCGTTGGCGAATGGAGCCGCGAGGGAGCAACAGGCGAGACCAGCCGTGCCTCAATGCGTTTCCCGGCGACGACTTCTGGCCAAGACATTACGATTCTCCTTTGGCGTAACCATCTAGACCTTGCTACTGCCAACCACTGAATGTTGACTCGCCGAAACCCACGACGTTGCGCGATGCGTGAGAAGTGCTGATTCTATTGAGACTGATGATCTTGGAAGAGCAAGCGCGTTAGACGCATTTGCGCAGCTGCTTGGAGGTTCGGTAGATCAGCAGTCTCTTGAAGAACAGCAGCAGAAACACCGTGGATATGGCCTCTCCCAGTGTGGACGGAGCTCTGGAAGCAACAGGCTGCCTCGCGGCATTGCGGGTGCTTTGTTTCGACTGAGAAAGACGCGACAACCCAAGTGAACGACGCAGAGACTCCTAGCCACGGTGCCGCAGCGGGAGGCACATTGCGGCCGCGACGAAGGCTCGGTGTCGCCTTCTACGGTCATTAGAGGGAGCACCGAAAGGCATACCCGAGATCTGAAGCCTGGCTCCAGCTCACCTGCATGCAACAGCGACTGTCTGGCCCTGAGCACGACCGCTGGTCTCTCTGGCAGCCGTGACTCGATCGGAGTGGACGTCTCATCGACAAACCGGCTGGTATTGAATACACAACTGGGCGCTTTCCTATGCAGTGCAGGCGCAAATGAGCAGTGGTGCAAACAAACAAGGACGAAGGCAGCTCCCAAGATCGGGGAGCCAACTTCAGCAGCGACAGTCGAGAACCAAGAGTTCAAGTCCTTGCATCGCCGCGTGGCGCGATTTGGCCGCCAGCAAGAGTTCAGCTGCAGTGGTAAGTAGCCTACAAGAACATGCTTCCTAGCTCGACAACAGGTGAGGCTCTGCCAGATCGCTAGGCTTGACTGCCATTACAGGTCATCATGCACCAATGAGTCGGTATGGCATTGCGCGCACACACGGAAACGGAAGCCATTTGCCGCCAGTTTTCCAGTATTTAGTCGCGCTTCCATCTCTCAGATCTCTCCCTTTCACCCGCAAAGGACCCCCGGTGTATTTCCAGCTGTGGGGCACCGCGGGGTTTCGCTGATCGTCGCTCTGCACCAGCATCGAGGACTCCATTGTTCACGAATCGCGTGGCCACTCACTCTGCTCATCGCAGGGAGGGGAAGCAGCAGGATGACCACCCCGCCTCGGCTGACGTGTGGACGGTAAGTAGGCGAGCAGTATTAATACCTCAAGGTACAGTTTTGCATCGTGCTGGAGTTCCTCTTCTGCTCATTCTCCCGCAATACCTTTCATTGTTTCTTCGAAACGCAAACATGCCGTTGCACACGAAGCTTCCCAGCGACTTGACCGAGTTTGATGTGATCATCGCTGGAGGTATCTAGACTCCAGTACACTCCTAACCACCCTCGCTGATTCCCTTGCTTCGTCCAGGTGGTCTTGCGGGCTGCGTTGTTGCTGGCCGTCTCGCAGAAGCCGATCCGAAAACATCTATTCTCGTAATCGAACAAGGCCCAAACAACTACAACGAGCCTTTGGTCGTACACCCAGCTCTCTATCCCCGTAACCTGTTCCCAAGCAGCAAGTACACTCTGTTCTGGCATGGCAAGCAGTCCAAGGAGCTCGCTGGTCGAAGTCCGATTGTCCCAAGCGGAGGCACGCTAGGAGGCGGAAGTGCTATCAACTGGATGGTGTACACTCGAGGCCAGAGGAGCGACTTCGACAGCTGGAAGTCAGAGGGTTGGAGCGCGGACGACTTGGTGCCATTCCTTAACAAGGTATGTCCAGCATCGGAGAAAGTCTGAGTCAATGAACGCATTGCTGATGTTAGCATCCAGCTCGAAACCTACCACGGCTACGGCGAGCAGAAGCACCATGGCGGCACCGGCCCGACACTCATCAGCAAGGGCACACACCGCGCTCGTGAAGCGGAAGATGACTTCATCAAAGGTACGGTCTTGACGAGCCAAGCTCCATTGTCTCTACCACTGTGGCTAACCCTTTGCTTTCGTCTATAGCTTGCGGGAAGTTGGGCTACCCCGAGTTCAACGACCTTCAGAACCTTGACGACAACAACGGCTTCGAGCGATACCAGAAGTACATCGGTCCGAACGGACGACGGTCAGATGCGGCTCACAGATACCTCCACCCCAAGCTTCAAAGCGGCGACTACCCAAATCTCCATGTGCTATGCGAGAAAGAGGTGATCAAAGTCAACGTGGAGAATGGCAAGGCTGTCGGTGTGGAGTATCAGACGAACCCCAGGTACGCTTCCAGTGTGCTAATGACCATCGTGGTTAAGACGTTTGCTGACATTTCCTCCGTGTCGCAGATACATGGCAAATCCAGAGGTAAGCATGGGGCCCGGATGATTGCTTAGAACAATTGCTGATACTTTTTCTGTCCTGCAGTTCCTCAATGCCGGATATGCCTCTCCTCGCAACGTACGGGCTCGCAAGCAGGTCGTCGTCTCGTGCGGCGCATGCGCGACTCCTCTCATCCTCGAACGATCCGGTATTGGTAACGCCGATATCCTGAAGAAGGCGGGAGTCGATGTGGTGCAAGATCTGCCCGGCGTCGGACACGACTACCAAGACCACCATCTCAGCTTGTGGTCGTATCGAACGAGCCTGGCGCCAAGAGATTGCATCAATGGCTTCTCTGACGGCAGGTTTGACATCAACAAGGCGATTGCTGAGAATGACGAGCTTCTCGGGACCAATGCTATGGATGCTCGTATGTTGCTCTCCATCGCGAAGACGATATTTAGGTTGCTAACGATATGCAATACAGAGGGGAAGGTGCGACCCACCGAAGCCGAAGTCGAAGCTCTGGGGCCAGAGTTCAAGGCCGCTTGGGACAAAGACTTCAAGCCCTATGCTGATCGCCCATTGATGATCATGGCACTCTACAACTGCTACTACGGCGACCACAGCACCCTACCTGATGGCGCCGAATACGTCTCGCTCGCAAACTGGACCGCCTACCCCTACTCTCGTGGCCATATCCACATAACTGGCCCGAAGATGACCGACCCCATCGACTTCGACACCGGCTGGCTCCAGGACGCCAACTCGGTTGATGTGAAGAAGCATATCTGGGCGTACAAGCTCGCTCGCGAGATCTTCCGTCGACTGCCGTTCTTCCGTGGAGAACTTGTTGGCAACCACCCAGATTTCGCCAAAGACTCTCCCGCGGCGGTTGTTCAATATGCAGACGGACCCATCGCAAAGGGAGACGATGACCGGATTCAGTACTCCAAGGCGGATGACGAGGCTCTCGAGCAGAAGATCCGGGAGACCGTCTCCACGACATGGCATTCTCTTGGCACTTGCAAGATGGCATCTCGGGATCAGAAGGGCGTGGTGGACCCCAGCTTGAACGTGCATGGCATCAAGGGCCTGAAGCTTGCAGATCTGAGTGTTCCACCAGAGAACGTCGGAGCAAACACCGGCAACACAGCGTTCCTAGTCGGCGAGAAGGCGGCGGATATCATCATCAAGGAGCTTGGACTCGACAAGGGCAAATCGCAGTCTTCTGCGCAGGCGAGACTGTAGGTTAGGGTCTGCGACCAGAGACTTTGTACATAAGCAGAGATTGTACAGTGTACCCTACTCCTCCGCTGAAGGAATGCCTTTCCAGTGCCCATCATTTCTATCATCTCACAACAGCCTGTCGTATCCGAAGCACGAGTGCTCGAGTCAGCCGCAGGTGGAAATGCGCTCATCCTCATAAAGCACTGAAGGGACGTGAGGTTAATGGTGCAATGCAGGACTATCTGGCGTATTGGTCATTTGGCGTTCGCTTGCTGAAGAGCAGATGCCAAGGGAGCAGAGTCCTGGGAGATATCAGCCTCTGTCAAAAGTCAGTTATACATATCACTCACGGCCCAGACTTCATATGATGAGAGCTTTGGCTTCCCGGAACCAATGCTGTCTTTGCCCACGACGAATCGTGCTGCGAAAGGAACGCTGATTTCCTGCCCAGTGCTCCGGATCGTGGCGTGCATATCACCATGGATCATGATATCTTCGGCATTCTGGCCACCGGCGTATGCGCGGCGTATGAAATGCTTCCTTGACTTGATCGCATCCCATGCATGCTTTCGAGAATTCCTGATGGCTGCACAACATCGAGTCAATATTGGCATGGCACTGCAGCCAGTTTGCGCATACCTTGTTCACCTGAGATTGCCCCTTGACTTGTTACCAAGCTGGCGTCGGATTGAAACACTCGATCGGCCCAGAGGTTGCCGGCTTCGGGGTCTGGTGTGTCTGCAATAACGAAGAAGTCTTGCAGTAGGTCTTGGATGCTGGAGGGCGTTGGGGTCATCCAGACCGTCTGTGCGGTGACATAGGACATCTTCAACAAATAACAGCGGTGTGAGTTGGAGCGGACGGTGGAGACTGGCGAAGTCTGAACGCACAGAATGCGTCCAGCACTACATATACAACGAGCTCTCGGTTTGACCTGGCCTTTGCGTATGCCGACCTAATACGGAAAGCAAGCCCACTCGTCCATCGCTCACAATCGTCCGAGCTGACACGCCTGCAAGAGTAATAAGACACAGATGCTTATCAATAGCAAAATCCACTAGAGATCATCATATTCACATCTCATCCATCGCTGGTATCGCTCTCGCTCCGATCTCGACGCGCTTCTTGAGGACCGCTTCGTCGTCGCCCTTCCGCATCCTGTCGATCAGATCTTCAACATCGATATCCGTGCCGATCGGATTCTCGGCAAAGTGCGGACTGGTCATGAACTTGTTGGCATCTTCGACAGTATCGAAGTTGTCCACCTGCGTCTCCAGCATATTCCCGTCTGGATCTTTGTAGTAGATGCTCGTCGTTGGTCCATGATTGACGGACCAGACTGGCAAAATGCCACGATGCTTCCGCTGTCGATAGGCGACAAGTAAGTCACGAACAGTAGGGAACGTGAAAGCAATGTGTTCCAGTCCACTGCTGGTTGGCTGTTTTTTGCCGGTGCCGGGAATGTTCAGGAGGGCGATGCGATGATGTTCTTCGTCGTACGTGATGAAGCACAAGAAGTCATTCCCGTACGTGATGCTGCCTCCGAGGAACTGAATGTAGAAGTCGACCATCTGCTGGAAATTGCCAGTTCGAAGGACGACATGGGCCAATGTCGATGGACTTTGGACCTTTTCGCCGGGGCGATCGAATTCATCCTGATTTGCGGCGCCCATAGTCGATATATTTCTCAGTCTGCGGCAAATCTTTGCATTGCCAGTAATTGAGTAGCAGAGGCGACTTGAAGGAGAGCATGGAAGTACGAGGATCGTCGAGAGTCAGCACCTGGACCGAAGAGCTGCCAGGCCCCGCCCAGTCTCCGAACCAATTTGGCAATGTGTGAGCAGTGTTCCACCAATGATATGCACATTGTTTGCTCGCCTTTCGGGTGCATATCGTGAAAGGCTGGAGTTTGGCATCGAAACGATTTTTGAGGAGAGAATGCCATACCACTCGTACATGCTACTTGCAATGGTACAAGATTAGATTCCTCCGCTTTACATCAAACAGCGGCATCCACACAATCAAATCGGCCTGTGACGGTCATCAACACTCTGCGAGCCGCTTCGAGATCTTTCAACTCATCCGACCTCCACGCAACATGCTGGTCGGGTCGGATCAGAACAAGACTTCGTTCGTAGAGCTTCTTAGCCAACCGCTCATGGGCTAGATGCACAGTCCTCAGCGGTATGGTCATATTCTTCGCTTCTTGGACGAGTAGCTCCTGACCGCAGTCGGAGTCGCCGAAGCACAACAATGTCCAGTCCATTCCGAAGTGATCGAAGATAGCTGAGCCATCGCTCAGGAAGAGATGTGGCGGTCGGCTTCCAGGCCATGTGGTGGGCGTGTAGGCGGATGGAGTCCAATCTGGTTCGATACCATCGATGTCGTCAGGCACAACGATGCGCGATCGATATCTGTAACCCATCTCGATTCCAAAGTCCTTATTCTCGCCGTCGTGCTGCTGGTAGTACTGCTGTATCTGAGATCGCAATTGATGAGCCTCCATAGTATCACAGTCAACACGGCGTGGATCTGCGTTTCCACTTGCGAGTATGTCTTTAAGTCCAGCGTGAACTTGGAAATGGACGCCGGAGTGTGCAACGTTCCTGCTTGCAACCGGCTTTCGTTCGATCTGATAAGACTCGAGCAGACTAGTGCCGCCAGAGCCATTGATCACGGCCGCGAGCTTCCAGCCCAGGTCGAAAGCATCCGCTATTCCCATGTTCATTCCGTAGCCTCCTGTTGGGATGTTCTGATGAGCCGAATCACCTGCGAGGAAGGCTCGGTGGTGCGGGCCCGACCAATCATCGGTAACAGCTATGACAGGACGCCAGGTAGAGCGCACTAAAATCTCATCAATGGTGATAAGGTATGGGTCGTACATGCCTCCCATGACCCGATAGACGACCTCCTCGGACGTAAGTAGATCGGGATCCTCCGTCGAATCGATGGGAACGAAGAGGTGAACCGTCCAGGTGTCGACCTCGTCCTGCGCAATAATAGCACCACCAAGACCTCCACTCGGATCTGTGAAGAAGATATGCCAGAATCTGCCGTGTTTGTGGAGTCGCCGAAGGTCTCGTGACTTGAAGTGGACGAGAATGGCGCGCACAGGGCTGGAAATGTTGAGTTAGATGCACAGATACAATTTGTGGATGGTCGTGCTTACATGGGTCCCCCGTCAATAGAGATGCCTAGTGATTTCCGCACTCTACTGGACCCGCCATCACAACCTACGAGGTACTGTGAGGTGAAGACTCGTTTGGTTCCACCAGGCTCGACAACAGTCGTCGTGACGCGATCCGAGTCTTCTTGCACCGACTCCACCTTCCAGCCGTATCGAAGATCGATCAATGGGTCCTTGTCACAGATGCACTTGAGCCACTTCTCAAAGATAGCTTGCGAGATGCGCTGCCATGGCTCATGCGGCTGCGTCCCATCATTCCACTGCTGAACACGTTGTCGAAACTTGTCAACACTCGGCAAATCCCATTTGGCCAGTAGATGGTCGCGGCCCAGGCCTGTCGACATGAGAACGTCCTGGTCAATGTCGGAAGGCACTCCTTGGCGGCGTAGGTCCTCTGCTAGTCCTATTCGATGGAACAGCTCCATAGAACGAGCGTTGGTCAGGTCCATCTTCGGCCAGGTCGTTGTCGACGGATTACGTTCGAAGAGCACTGAATTCACCCCGTATGTGGCGAGTACTCTTGCTAGAATGAGGCCGACGGGTCCTCCTCCAGCGATGGCCACGGTGCCTTCTGGCAGGCATTCTTCCTTCCAATATTCGTTCATCGTCCGGGTGGTACTGGAAGAGCTATTGCATGAGGCAGGGCGAGCAACGAATGCTGAGCATGGCGGCGCACAACATAAGCTGATGCATGCCGTCGACTGCTACGGCACACCTGCCCCTTTGGTTCGGGATGCTTCCAAATGTCGAGTCCCCTCCCCAGGGTAAAAGACCGGGGACTTGCACGGAACAGTGGAGAGTCGGAGTACTCCATCCCAACTCGGCCTCACGCAAAGCAAGCGGCTGAGACGAGATGGCATCTGATGCTGAAGATGGTGGAGGGTCGAGAAAGAGAAGACGAGCAGGAAAGGCATGCAACTACTGTCGTGCCAAGAAGATTCGCTGTTAGTGTGCACGATCCATCCTGTACTTTGCGTGCACTGCTGACACCACCCCTGTTGTCAGGCAACGGACAAGGTGATGGTAACCCGTGCCCCAATTGTATCGACCGCGGCCAGATATGCATTACAGCTCCAGGGCGTGGGCGGGCCTTTATGGCCATTTCCACGCCTGCAACGACGGCGGAGCGGTCTACACCATCAACTACCCAAGGACCAGAAGGCGACACTGGGACCACAGCAGCCTCTAGCTCCCTGCTCTCAGTACCGCAACCAACCCAAACTCGAGAAGAGGAGTCATTCGGGACTGAAGAGGGTCCAGACGAGCTCTACGAGGGCAGCAGTGTTCTTTCAGACGACAAAGTATGCCTTCTTTGCCACCAGGACTTCCCTTGTGATGTAGGCTGACTCTCAACGCGAACAGACAAACTGGGAGTACCATGGCAAGTTGACCTTGTGTTTTGGAGGCTTTCGGCAAAATTCTCATGTGTCTCCCAGGACCGCGTTCTTATCTCTCGATATGTTCCAAACCCGGCGTGAGGTGGGTGAATGGCAAGACTCAGAGTGTGGACTTCTCGCAAACTGCAGCCGAGTTCTCCTCATACATCACCGGGCGGCTGAAGATGGATACGGACTTGTCTTCAGCGAGAGTGCCTGATCCTGATCCTCAGACAGCCTGGAGATACACTCGAGGTAAGCTGACAGGACCGTCTGTCTGAATTCACATCCGAGACCTTCGTACTTACTTGATGCAGCTTACTTTGATCAAGCTCTGGACGCTTCGCTTGGAATCGTGCAACGTACGTGGTTTGAGAAGCACCTTACCGCCCATCAAGCAGGGCTCGTGAGCGATACAAGTGCTACATGGCTTGCGCTGCGGAGCGTTGTATTTGCCGCCGGCTGTCGAATCGAGCTGTCGAAATCCCAAACCTTTCGCAAAGCCAGCAAGCAGGCATGGCGATACTTCGAGACTGCCCTCGCGGTGTACGCAAGACTCATCTTCCTGAAGACTTCCATTATGGGCGTACAGGCTTTGACACTGATGGTAAGCTGCCTTCTTGACCTCTCGAAGCGACTGCAAGCTAATACGACGATCGTTCCCATGGGCCTACTACACTCAAAACTTTGGCACCCCTTGCCTTGAGTATATGCTCATATCGGATGCAGTGCGTCTTGCTTTTGCCAAAGGCCTGCATCGAGCGGCTCCTCCATCACAGGACTTGTCTACGCAAGAGCTCAACGATCGCAACTGCATATTTTGGGGCGTGTACTGTCTAGAAAAGCAGATCACCCTGCAGGCAAGTCGTCCGTCGGTCAGTCTTCCATCCAAACATTGCAGCATTTTTGGTGTTCACAAGGCTGTTCAGATTATCGACGACGATGAGATCACTTGCGCGTTGCCGCAACATGTCAACAATGGCAGCGCATCGAACCTTGCGTACTGCCACAGCCTCATACGACTTTCTCAGCTGCTATCAAGATCAGAGAAGCGCCTGTCTACAGCTCGATATCTGCGCTCCGGAGGCAAGCTGCTGATGGAAGCCATCGCGGAGTTGCAAGGCGAGCTCGACAGCGTACGAGATACGCTCAACCAGTCCTTTGATCTCCAGCTTGGTCAATGCCTTCAGCCAGCGTCCTTGCCGCCACTGGTCAGCCTTGATCAGTTACTGTATCTCCACTACGCATATCTGAATGCTACACTGAGCATACACACTGTGCTAAGCTACCCATGGCTCCGTGCCTTGACAGGCCTGCATTCGCAAGAGACTTCCGAGATGCAAACGAATCAGTCGGCAGAGTCTGTGGCGAGAGCAGCCCGGGCGGCCATTCTACTAACCGAACACATCAATCTCAGAGCACACACCACTCTTCCGTAAGTCGCAATGCCTTTTCGGTTGCGATTCGCCGGAAAATTCTCGGTCACTAGCACCAACTAACCCTCTGCGGCGCAGCGTTGCATATTTCGGTCCCGTGTACGCAATGACCAGCCTATTCGTGTATTGCCTCGATGAGGGAGCCGATGTGTGCAGTCTAGCCCTTCTCGACGTTGCCACCGGCTATTTTGCGCGACTACAGCTTGCAACCGGTGCGGTTGTACCGGCTCGCGTCGCACGAGAGCTTTCTTCTCTAGCACACCGATATCACCAGGCACCTCAGGACACATCTCTCAACAGCACATCTTCGCCAAACGATCCCGAGCTTGCGGGCGGCGGCCTCGGTGCGGAATATTACGACCAGCTATGGGATCCTGGCGACATTGGAAACCCCTTGCCACTTGATTTCGAGGATTGGAGTGCCCTTCTACCCGTCTCGTCGGAGGAAGATCCCATCAATCTCGAGTTGTGGCAAAGTTGACTCAAGCATCCCACGCCACCAACCCCACGGTATCCCCGGACTCTCGGCACTCCGCCTTGGACATCTTACTAACCTGATCCGTTCGGAGGACAGGCTCTTCCCCAGCGGGGTCAACCAACAACTAGTATGGTATTTGCCATGCAATCTTCTCTTGGACCAGGCCTCTGATAGTTGACCTTTTTTCAGTTCGCATGCCTGCAATTGCAGACAACAGCAGAAAAAAAGTGTCGCGGGGAATGAACAACCCACCATGTTCTTGTCTTTCTCCAATGGTTTCCTACTATCATTGGCCTTCGCTGGCCTCCTGGTCTTCCTCTTCAGCAAAGTCTACAATGTTGGACAGCGCCCACCTGACCTTCCTCCTGGTCCGCCAACCATTCCTGTCCTTGGAAACCTTCATCAAGTGAGCCGCGTATCAAACCGTGACCACAAGAGCACGCTTTGACATTACGCCTTCCAGATGCCCACTGTCAAACCCCATATTCAACTGCAGAAATGGGCCGACGAGTACGGGTGAGGCTGCCTTTGCGAACACATCTTGACTGAGCCGATATTTTGTTGACCATCAATACCAGACCGGTCTATTCTTTGATGCTCGGCACCAAAACCATGATTGTGCTGTCCAGTGACGTCGCCGTGAAAGATATTCTAGATCGTCGCAGCGGCGACTACTCCGACCGACCGGACATGTACATTGGTCAGACCATCGCCAGCGGTGGCATGAGACTTGTCGTCATGGTATGCCCCAGCGGACCCGCCATATGTTGCTCGCGCTGACGAACACCACCAGCGGTACGGCAAGTTCTGGCGTATGATTCACAAGACCATCCACAACATCCTCAACATCAAAGCCGCTGTCACATACGTTCCTTACCAAGACCTAGAAAACAAGGTAATGCTGCAAGGGTTCCTGGATGACCCCGAGCATTTCCTGGGCCATCTTCGCCGGTATACTTTCTCTCTGTCGACGCAAATTGTCTTCGGATACCGTGCTCCAGACACCCAGGACCCGAATCTGCAGCAGCTCTTCTGGGTGAGTGCAATACGATATCACGACGAAGCGTGCGTTTCTATATCAGACTACTGACCCTGCCACGCGGCGCACAGAGCTTCGAGCGGTGGTCGAAACTTGCTGGAAGCGCCAGCGCTCAGCTCACCGACCTGTTTCCCGCGATCCAGTCTCTTCCGCGCTTTCTGTCTCCTCAAGTACGTGAAGCAGAGTGGCTTCACGGGAAGGAGAAAGATCTCTATGTCCGCCTGTGGATGCGGGCGAAGCGTGGGCTCGAAGCAGGCACGGGACATGTAGGTCGTCCATCAATTTTGCTTGCGGCGTGACGACCACGCTGACCTTCTATACGACAGCCGTGCTTTTGTAACGATCTTCTCCGCGCTCAGAAAGTGGAACAGTTCAATGACGATCAAGCCGCCTACATCAGTGGGTCTTTACTAGAGGCCGGATCAGATACTACTGCCGCGATCCTCTACGGCTTCATTCTTGCCATGCTAGTTTGGCCGTCCGTTCAAGAGAAAGTCCGCGCCGAAGTCGACAGCGTCGTTGGTGCCGAGCGTCTTCCTACCATCGACGACTACCCCAACCTACCCTACGTGCGATCCTGCATCAAGGAATCCATGCGCTGGATGCCAACCGTGATTCTCGGCGTCCCGCATGCAGCCCTCCGTGAAGACCATTACAACGGCTATCGCATACCCGCCGGTGCGACCGTCATCAATAATGTCTGGGCCATACACATGGATGACAAGCGCAGTCCTTCTCCGCGTACCTTCAACCCCGACCGCTTTGCCGACGACACTCGAACACTGTACGAATCTGCTACTGGCGAAGCCTCAAAGCGAGACAACTACGTCTTCGGCGCTGGGCGGCGTCTGTGCCAGGGTATCCACATCGCGGAACGGTCGCTGTTCTTGGGCATAGCGAGGCTGATGTGGGCATTCGAATTTACGCCAGCCATTGATGAACGTACGGGGCAGAAGGTGACATACGACGTCGACGACCTTGTGGGCGGTATCACCGTCGAACCACGCCACTACCCTTGTACCATCACATCTCGCAGTGGAGCAAAGGCAGAGCTCATCCGGGAATCTGTAAAGTCGGACGCTGAGACATTCCTCGACCCTGGCACAGGCCAATGGAAGAAGACTCCCGAGGGCATGGCATTCAGTACTTGGGTTGATGTGGATGCTTGAAAACACTCATATAATCACCATGTACATAGTCAAATCGTACCTGCTCATCAATAAGCCGTCTTGACTCCTCCCCTCAGTCCGCCGTTCCATAGACAACAAACGCTCATCTCCTCGCACCACTTCTGCACCATCCAAGGCTGGAGCGGTTCTTCAACCACTTCCCATTCAGGCTCTTCGGCAATCTCAGCATCGTCCTTCTTCTTTCGGCCCTTCTTCTTGGGCCGCGGGTTCTGCTTCTTGACCTCCACCTTCATCCCTCGCTCGTTGAGCCAGGCAGTTAGATCTTCCAGTACGATGGGATCGTAGAGTAGAATCTTCTGCCACCAAGAAGGTTTATCCGAGTTGTCGGTACGCGGGCCAGCCTTCACAGCTTGCGTGATGCGTGTGAAGGTTGCTGCTCGCACTGACTGCCAATGTGAGTCGCCAGACTTCAGCGTAGGAACGACCACTGCCGGTGCTTTTGCTTCGAGCTCGCGTGCCTTCACAGGAGTCAACTTGAGTGGTGTGACGGCCGGAGAGAGGGACTTGGCTCGTCGCCGAGGCGGAGAGGGCGTCACGGGGGCGTCTGAGTCTGAGATCACATCTATGTCAATGAACTCAGTAGCTGCCGCTGGCTGGGAGGCGACTGTTGCATTGTTGCTTTGATGTTGTAACTCAGCTGTGATCGCCGCCGCCGCCTTAGGTGGGCGTCCTCGTTTACGCGGCGGTGAAGACTTGCTCTGTTGACCCAGGGGTACTGCCTTCGCGGCAGCAGTGTCAGCTGGCGGTGAAACGTTCTTTGCAGGCTTTGTCCTAGCTTTTGTGGAATAAGGAGAAGCGAGCACCGGCAGGTTGCGATCAAGCAGTCGCAATGGAGATCTCATCGGCATGACCGACTGTGGAAGGGGTGGTCCAATTTTCCGGTTGTCTTTCGCGGGCGCCGGAGAGCCATCATCATTCACCACGATGTCAGTCACTTCGTTCCCGGGGTGAGGTAGTACGGGTGCAGCTATCGAGTCGTCACTGCCCAGAAGCATCCACGTATCATCATCGTTGTCGTCACGGTCGTTTGCGTCGTTGGCAGGAGAAGATGGTGGTAGCTCCAGTGGCGATGGGGAAGTTTGCAGGCCAGTGGCCAAGCTGTTGGCCTGAATGGGAGGGACTATTGGCCCTTCAGTGCCTTGCGGAACACCGAAGGTACCCTCGCGGGCTTCAGCATGAGGTATACAGGGGACGTCGTCTGCGCCTCGTGACTTAAAGACCACGCCAGAAGATGCAAGCCCGGACGGCGCTGCTGCAACATCAGACGTTCGTGCGAGACTTCGTCGTGGGCCAGAGAGCGAATTGATCGGAGGGATCTTAACCACTCCACCATTCCTGTCTCGCGATGATGTACACCAGTGCTCTTTGTCGGCTTGACCGACCGACAAGTTGGTCCCATGAGGAGCAGTTGGCACACGAACGCAGCTCTTCCAGCTCGGAGGCGACGCTATGGCTTGCGTACCCTGCTTCTGAGGCGAAAGACTGGCGCTGGTATCAGGCTGTAGCATCATCTCGGATTCCCTCACAGCAGCCTGCATATCGCGTATGAACGCCGCATCTTCGTCCACAGCAAGCTGGCTCGATGTGCCAAATACGAAATCCTGCTTATCGAATTGTGCAGTAGCATGGCCTGGGGAGAAGAGCTTCGGCTTGTGATCTGCTTCGTTGAACTTCACCTTCGCCGTCTTTGGCTTTGCTTTGGTTCTGGCCTTGGGCTTCGAATTCTCGACTGTGTTATCATCCGCGACCGCAGTAGGTTTGGTACGAGGCTTTCGCAGCTTCTTCGCCTTGGACGCAGGCCGGGTTCCTGCTGCAGGCATGACTGTCTCCTGCGGCAGCGGTGGTGGCTTGTCCTTGTCCGCCGTGAAAAGCTCCGAGACAACAGTATCTGGCTGTCTAGATGGCTGCTGAGGCGGCTGAAACGCCGCAGTTGCCAGGGCAGTAATCGTTTGCACCTTTTTTGCAGGTTTCTTGGGCTTCTTCTCCTTCGTAGGTTTTGTAACCGCAGAATGCTCGGTGACTTGCCTCTGCTGGCCAGCAGCTGCGGTATTGGTACTGGAATCGGCGAGCTCGATTCGCCGTCGCTTGGTTGCAGCTTCAAGCCGAACGTCACGCATCGATGGAGTAGCCGAGTTGATATCAGACATGTATCCAAAGCCGCTCAGGACTGTCGAGAGGTGTTGCTTGGGTGGAGAGTTTGGGAAAGCGTCCTCGTGTGAGGGTGCTGGCGAGAGGTCGAGTGGAGCGTGGATGGTGTCAGTGTCTTTGGGTGGTGTCCAGCCTATCCGCCGCTTTGCTGCCGCATGATGAATTGGACCAGGCAGTTCTCCAGGCGTTTCTGCAGACAATTCTCTGGGTAGGATCGGCGCGACATAAGGTGCTTCGATAGTGTTTGGTGCAGTTACTTTTGGAACCAGTCCTTGACTTTCTCGGCTTGCGAAGTGCGCAGACGTCTCCTCTGTTACGGGAACATCGAGTTGCTCCACTTCAGCAGAGATGCTGGCGTCGACCTCCAAGTGGTGCTCTTCTCGACCGAAAGCGAATGCTCCGAATCCCTTGCTGCGCGCTGGTGCATCGCTCTTGGTCTCCTGGCCCCCTCCGCGTGCCTCTTCAGGAGCCTGAAGCACAGTTCCATCATCGTCTGGCTCGTCGGAATTCAGAATGAAGGATGCAGACTTGGCTTTCCTCTTCCGCGACTTCTTGACAGGCTTGTCCAGGCCAGCATCAGCTTTCTTCGTGGCAGCATTGCGGACCTTGGTTGTCTTCTTGCGCTGCTGCACGGGTCCAGGGCTTTCGCCTACCTTGAACGCGTATTCTGACAGTGTCACAGTCGGCGTCCTCGTCCGTATTGTGGGTAGGTCCACGCCAGGCGAAGCCTTGGTCGGTGTAGCGTTGGTTGTGCCCACATCGCCGCCGACAGCATGATGCCTGAAGACGTGCAGTCGTTCTGAGGGAGACGCGGCCGCAACCACCGCCACATCTTTGACTGCCTCCTCCGTCTTGCGCCTCTTGCGTGGCCTCGTCAGCTTGCTGGTGCCTGCGGTCTCTATCTGCTTCTCTTTGCTGCCTTGCCCCTTCTTCGGCTTTATAGCTTCGCCTTCCCCTCCCAATCCAACATCTCTGTCCAGCTCAGCTGTCGCGAAGTGATTCGACTTGACTAGGCTGCCCGCGCTCGCAAAGCCCATGTTGACGCCATCCGGCACGTGTTGCGCTCTCGATCCGGTCTTGAGGCCAGCTGCTCGCGGTCGCACAAATGCCGAGGGCAAAAGCAGCGAAGCGGAAGAGGAGGATACGGGTCGGTCATTGCTCTCGGGGATGCTGGGCGGAGTGATGGGAGGCGAAGAGCTGTTGATGACCACCGGGCTATGGGTGGCAGCGGGCATGGTGGCGAATCGCGAACAACGCAACCATTGCGGAAGGAGTGGCGGGAGTCGAGACAGCTTCAACTCGGCGGCGACATGTAGCACAGCGGCGGTATTTGGACGGTGTTGTGGACGACAAGATGAAGTTGGGATTCATGAAGCTGAAACGCGGGCAATCGCGAGTGCACGTGACACGAAAGTTGGTCGATGTGGATCAAGCACTCTCCATTCTGCTATACTGCCATCCATGACCCTTCTTAAGAACGGTCTAAGTGCTCTTCTTCTTCGCCTTCTTCCCCAACATGCCTTCACGCCAGTACCACACACCACTAAGCGCTGCCCCAGGTCCTAGAACCACACTCACAAACGCGATCACTGCAAAGGCCTGCACCATCCCGAGCGTCGTAAGGCCCAAGCTGTGAAGGTCCCACACGACGATGCACGCGCATGCGATTGAAGCTGCAAAAATAATCCAAAAGTCGATCTGAAAGATGAACAGCAAAGCCTGACTCATCGACCACGACTCCCGATTCTCGAGCATGAAAACGTCCCAGAGGCTTTGCTGAGGATCGTTGGATGTCAAGCATATGCCTATGACTCCGACATGGACGACTGCGGAGATGACGGCGGATGAGACGTACAGCGTCTTGACCGTCTTCTCGCCGTTTCCTCTGGAGCCTTGGCCCACCTGAGAATCATCCGCGGCCCCGGCAAGCCGAGTGTAGGAAATCCAAAGGATGTTGACGAAGAACGGACTGGGTTGCCAGAGCGCGACCATAAATTGCTGCGTGTCAATGTCCAGGAAGGGGAGATACATGAGGGTGGTGGGAACCACGTATCCAACCAGAAGTGCTGGGAGAAGACCTCTCGCTGTAGTCGGAGGAATACTGTGGCTGTCGTTGCCGTAGACAGTCGTAGATGTAGTGAGAGTGAAACAAAGGTACCATAGCGGAATGATGATTGCTCCGCCGACGGTCTGGTAAAAGATGGCCCAGAAAGATGTGCTGCCAATGCAGTGTCAGTCAGCAATCTCATATTGAGACTGAAAGTACCTTACAAGCTGATCATCTTCCATCCACTACCCTTCCTCGCCGCCTCGACAGACCAGACCGTAATCACCGGGAGGAAGGAGAACAGAAAGTGGATCTGTTGCAGCTGAAACGCTCTGTCGATGCCCGCAGCGCCCGGCAAGAACGCTGCCACAAGGAATGACAAAAACATGTCGACGGGACCGAGTCCAGTATACGTTCTCCGGAGTACTATGTCGGTTTCCGGAAAGACAAATGGCTTCGGCTCTGTGATGAGCGCAAAGAACCCGCCAGCTGCATTGGAAGGTGGGCTGAGACGCATGTAATACGTCGCGAGCACGGCCAGGCCGACGAATGTTGCATAGCACACCACGCTTCTTGCAACAGGAAGGTTTGGCTGGTCCATTGTGAAGTGACGTCCGTAGCGTAGTTGACGTGTGCTGAGGTTTTGTAAAGTAGAAAGCCAGCAGGAAGTGGATGCGGAAATTCCAACAACTTGTCTTGATCTCCGAATGCGAATGCGACCTGTTGGTCCTCCGCGGCTAGTAGAGGATGGCTGACGTTCCTTCTCGAGCATGAGGCCGGGTTATGGAAGCCTTTCGGTGTTCCTGTTTATCGTCGCCATAAACCACGGTAATGATGTCAGAACGTGAACCACAGCTTGTACCACAGTGCAGTGCAGAGCAATTCATGGTCGACGGCGATTTTTCGTGCCCAATCTCCAATGAACATTCTGCTGTGGGAACGTCCGAGATCAGATAGCGCTCCGACGTCTCCGTCTCGCAGAGCTACGTCGTGCGACGCCGTTGGCTCGTTGACAAACTCCCAGTACAGTCGACTCCAGGGATTGGCGGCGTGTAGGAATTCGTAGTCAAATGCACCACGATCGTGTGATGGAATCGCGTCGCGGAGAAAACCGAGATAGCTCTTGAGCGCGTTTCGAATATCATTGAGTTGACAATCTGACCACTGGTTGCGCCGATGCCACAGGTGTGTGTCGTGCCAGCCGTGAGTCACCTCCCGGGTGTTTCCCAGATCACCGAGAAGCCAGTCGTCTGGGCCTTGAACGAACAGATTCTGCGGTTTGACGTCGTCATGACAATAGCCTTGGGCATGAAGAGTACGCAGGTCTGTCACCACCCTAGCCAAGGAAGGACGATATTTGTTATCGAGCTGCTCTGTAGATTTTCCGACGCGCTGCAGGCGGTGAGAGAATTCCACCAGCGTGCCCCCAGAGACAAAAGGTGTCACCATGGTCCATTGCCAGTCTTCCGGGGAACTTCCAGCATTGCGTAACACGAAGTAGTCGAGGACAGGGACAAACGCTGAGTGGTCAGCAGTATTGTGCCCACCAAGCGTGAGGCTGGCTTCAATCTCTGAAGGCCAGCTGCGAGTGAACTCGTCGAAAGAGGGCTGCAGGTGTGATGGAAGCGGGTTTCGAGCGTTGGCACTGATGGTCTTGACAATCACTTGGTCGGAGGCATCATTGGCATTGTCCGAGCACAAGTAGACCAGGCCCTGAGCGCCGGCCTTGAGATGTCGTAGGATCCGGTAGCGTTCGTCGATGTGCGTGCCGTTGAACCAGCGAACTGGGCGCTGAGGGGGCACTACTGTTGACCGGATGTCCAGAGCAGTGGCCTGGAAGTCGATGGGATATTCTCGAATTGCTTTATCATGTCTGTCTCGCAGCTCGCGCACGAAGACCAGGAGCAGCACAAGCCCAACGGCAGCACGAGTGAGCAGCCGCCGAATTCTGAGAAGTCTGTTCATTGTCGTGGTCAATGGCGTCAAGTTGTTAACGCCGTGCTCGTGGACAAAGGACGGGGGGAGGAGGCATTATCAGACATCCTTCTTCTGCCATGGCTACGTATGTACGCAGGTGCAGGCACGCAGGTTTTGCAAAGCAACTGCCTTGGAGGCGCTTGGAATATCGCCGCCTCAGCCGGTCGATCAAGTAGGGTCTAGGAGGTATTAGGGTGCGCGACAGAGATTGGATCCAGTCGCAGCGCTCTTGGCTTGCTGTGGCGTTTGTCTGGCGACGTTCTAGCCAGCCTGAAACATGAAACGTTCCGCTCCGCGCCGCGGCAGCCACGATGACGGGGATCTGGGCAGTGCTTGACGATGCATTAGGAGGTAACACTCGGGCTCTGTTCGTTACCAGCACGCTTCTTGAGTCAGAGAGCTACTTCAGCAACAGCAACAACACCTCAAGCGCTTGGTGGCTACTTTTTCTACAGGTCCCCCGAGAAAGCCACGAAACCAACATCGTTCCTTGCAACATACGTCTCGCTATGACTTCAATAACCAATTGAGAGGAATCCATTGAGCTCCAACCTCCCGCTGGAAAGACACTACTACCCGTTGTTACCACCCTCTAGACTCGCCGAACCTCCTTCCATATCCATACCCTCCGTAGCCCTGATAGCTTCGTCCGGATCTCGCCGACACCTGCTTCGCGGCCATGCGCAATGCAGTCGCTTTCTGCTCCACTGTCAGGATAGCCATCTCGTCTCCGGCGAAGAGTTCATCGGCAACATCCAGAGCACATCCACTATCCTTGACGCCCGCATACCTCCAATAATGCGGCTGTGCTTTGCGGAAGACGAGCGGCTGGCATGCGTTGCCCTCAGAGAAGCCGGCTCTTCCCTCATCGTTGAAGTTTAAGTCACATGTTACCGTATGAGATCACCAACCGGTTCGTCTTTGGCTCTTCCTGAGCGTTGATGCGGTATCGAGCATAGCCTCCCGACTCCAGTGTCACCGAGGAGCTGTACCCCTGCCAGAAGAGTGATCGGCCAATTGCATCGATGGGCTGGATGTAAAACCCCTCCGTTCCTTCTGTCTGCCCCAGTCGCCAGACCGTAGGCTCGGCATTGGGACGAGCAACAATGTAGCCGTTAGGTCAGATTGCCCTGTGGAGCCTCAAGTGTGACGTTCATGGAGCGGTCGCAGAAGAGGCCTTCGTTCATGCCTTCAATGTACTGATCGACCATGTGCTGAGAGACACTTGGTGGCTTGGTGTCCTTGTGCTCCTTAATTGTGTGAAAACTGGTGTCTTGATCATTTGAAAGCGGATGCTGGACTCGTTCGGATTCATCCCAGCTTGGTGCTGCGAAGGCCAGTGGCAGCAGCTGTGCCGCTGAGGCGGTGATGAAAGCACCGGCGAGCTTCATGTTTGGAAGATGGAAGAGATGACAAGGAGACTGTGAACTATACCATGCGAGAGACGGCCCAGCTGCGGCGGCGTGCCAGGTATATATGGCGCTGTGGGATGGAGCAAAGTCCGATCATTTGTGTTTTTCTCCTTCGATTGACTCGAGGTTGCCATACTGCAAATCCTCGATCGAGCACGATACGCGCTTTGTCCAGCTCACCGCGCATTGGCGCACTGTACTGAGCGCTGATTCTCCGATGGGAACACAGTAATTGCTCGATCCAATGCAGCCCGGTTTTGAATGTTTTAAGCCCACGGTGTGTGGGCTTCTTCCAGGTTCCGGCACTCTCGGCAGCTACAGCTGTGTAAGAAGGGACCGGTTGCAGGATGAAATTGGAGATGATCAGGCATGCTCATTCATCTTTTCCAGTGATTCTTGTTCCTTTGCGACTTCTCCCAATAAGGCCGGTGATGGAGTGTGGACTCCAGTCGGCGACGAAGTTGTGACAGCGCGGCGCAGGCAGAGAAGGCCATACCCATGGTTGAGGCTCTCGTTTTCGTTGCTCAGTATGCTGATGTATCTTCTTAACAAGACCACATGCACGACGCAGATAGCCACGACGTAACAGGTCCGGTAATGAGGTCCAGGGGCCCAGGCCGGGGTCAGACAATGGCCAGCTCGAAAGTAATGCTCTCCTTACCGGAGTCAACTCACCCAGGCCACGGAGGCGACCTCTGTAGAGGATCTGCCAGCGCTTGCATAGCCATATCTTGGAAGGACTAGGTAGGAGATAAGCAGACAAGTGAAGTCGACGGGAGGGTCTGTGGTTTGGCCAAGAGCAAGGGGGGGGGGGAGAGCTGGGACAGGGGACCCCAGTCACCTTCACTAACAGACCTACCTTCACTTCGACTTCTCAGCAGAAAGACGACGCATGGCTATGGCTATGTGATAAAACGACCAGACGCCTTTCTTGATCTCGCTAAAGCTGAGAGAGCGTAACATCAGGACTCAGCTGGCTTCGCTATCTATCTCACATGCAAGCCTGCTTACACATCGACATCCCTCTTCCTACTAAGCATGCTCTGACAGGCGGCTGTGCAGGAGTCGACACTCGGTTCTGGAAGATGGGAGTTAAGCGACGGACAGCTCAACACCTTCCTGCAGACTCATCTTCATATGCCCTTCCGGTCTTGAGATGCCCGGGGCCCGATGCAGTACGCCTCTCGCAGAGTGCTCGATGATCGCAGCATTCGCGATGACCACGGTAGCAAGATGCTGTTCCTACCGTCCCTCGAACACCGTGGAGACAAAAGGGCCCTGCTGCCCACCGTGGACCTCCGCCATGTCTCATTCGCTTCGATATCAAAACCATGGAAGACAACACTGGCCGTAGGGGATTGCTTAGATCGACCACTCAGCACGCTGTAGCTCAACTGTTGGGAGTCGCCATCTGTACAGCAGTACTTTTGCTGTTTGCCGCACTGTCTTTCTCGAAGATTACCTTGCCCAGATACACCGCCGAGTACGCGCAGAAAGACACTCAACAAGTGGTCAACCTGATTATAACCGTCGTCGCTACGGTGATTGGGATACTGCTGAGCCATTGCCGTCGGTGTGTGGGAGTCCTGAAAAGAGCAACGTACAGAACTGACTTTCGACATTCTCCAGCCTTACCAACGAAGCTGAGACAAAAAGCGAGCTGCGAAACCCAGAACTCACAATCCCTCGCTTGCATGTTCATATCGAAGCGGCAGGAGGCGCTCATGCTGCGATGGGTGCGCCAGCGGTGCACAATCGACAGGTTCGGCGACTGTTGGCCTTCTACCTCTTCGCCATCATCATCTTTGGCTTCCTCAATTCCGTCCTATCAGTCATCTTCGTCATCGAGCCCATCATATCTGGGACCGGACATCAATCACCCGCTTACATACCTTTGGGCATCGATATTCCGCCTGATCACGACCCTTGTGTCGAGACTTTGAGTGCGCCCGGCTGTGCGTACGATCTGGCAATGACCTCTCTCAGCTCTCAGCTTATCACCTATCAGCCATGCCAAGTCGGCAGCGTTACCTTTGAGCCCCCGAACGGAACCATGGGTCTGCCCTACTGGGCCACGCAACACTTCTCCGATCAAGTTGAATCCAGTCGCTTCGAAGAGGAGCGTCGGCAGTATTGTCTTCCAGTCCTGGACCCAGACCTGATACACTGCACCGAGGAGCCGTACAACCAGCGAATTGGTCGGACGAACAGCAGTCTTGTAGGCTACGCTCCACTTGATCTAGTGAAGCGAGTCGACCACGCGGACATCGAAACCAACCAGGAGACCTACGAGATCGCGGTGCCGGTCAACGCCAGCGCGGGACAACTCAAGTACCGCACCGGTGATCAAGGAGACGGCGTGATGCTCGTTCGGATGTACCCCGAGGCCTCTCATGTAAACACCACTGTCATCACCGCAGTGGACAGTGTGGATCCCAGTCGAGTGGAGTCCAGCTACGCATCGTTGCTGTACTACTTGATGTACGGTGTGGAGCCGGATGCCTCCATCATACCTCTAAACGGCCCTTTCCACTTCGTGGCCAAGTGTGAGTTTGAGTCCATCAAGTATCGCGACAACTATCGATCTTCGTGGCGAAAAGTCGACTTCGTTCTCAAGAATGGCGTGTCGCGAGCTAACGTAACAGAGGAGCGCTGTCCCAACCTAAGAGGTAAGCCACGTTTTCGACGACGGCAGCGAATCCTTTGAACTGATTTTCTGCAGGGGATTGGACTTCCGGTTTCGACGATCTGTACTTCGACCTTGAAGGTGCCAGCGATGTGCTCTCCAGCACCGACGGCTACTGCAAGCTCCTCAATAGGAACATTGACAACTCAGACGGCACGAACATCTTCCATGGCATGTCACACCTCGATGCTATCGTCAACAAGGTGATCCACATCACATCCACCGCCTGGAGTCAGAGTGCCTATCACTATGCCATGCAGAATCAGTCCATCTACGACCACCCTGTGATGATGACCACCTTCTCGCACCTCTATGTCATCCGAGTGAATTGGACGCCTACCACGTACGTTGGCCTCATCTTAGCGCTTCTGATCACATTCAACATGTACATGCTCGCCGGACGCTGAATGCGGGCTACCTACCGCTTCGGCTTGAATGCAGAGACCTGGAACCTTCTGCAGCCTGTGGATCTGATGGCTTACTCCCTGGCCGCGTACCAGGACTTGATCCATGATCTGAATACCCGAGAGCACCGACGAATGGCCATGCGTGGGAAGTCGCTCACAGTGCTTCGCGAGACACCCGTGTGGGAAGGCACTCAGAGCTTGATCAAGCTGGTGACGGGCATGCAGCACCCAGCATTAGCGACATCTGCGAGCATTCCAGTCAGTCCAAGAAGCACTGCTGGAGGTATTCATGATGTAGTACAGCAGAAGTAGGAGGGACAGGTCTGAATGTTGCCGCAGGACGAGAGTGATGGCTGTGGTTTTGGATACGTGTAGTTGTTTGCAGAATGTGTGCAGTTGCTTAGAAGATGAGTGAATAGCATGGCGGCCATTTTGTACTTTATGTCTCTCATCTGCCATCTTCTGTTCAACGTTGACATTCGCAAATAGAGGACGTCATGATGACACATCGCTTGACTTCTCCAATGCAGCTCCCACTCATCTCCATTCACTGCCATTGAGACCAATAGCTCGCCTTGCCGGTCCACAAACCCTACAATCATCGAGAGTACGTGTAGCACCTAGAAACTCAACACCGCGATCAACATGCAACGATCCATCTTCAACCCTCGGCTCTTCCGAGCCAGTCCAACATCCAGTACCCTCCTCCACCGCCAACCGCTCTCCACCTCTACAGCACGACACGGCGTCTTCACCAAGGAGCGAGATGACACCTTGGACCCCAGCAAAGAGGGTACGGATGTGACAGAGAAGCAGGCCAAAAACCCCAAAGGAGCCAACCCCGCGGAGCAGCAAGCGAAGATCGTCAAGCAGCAGGGACCTGGGCAGACGCAGCAGGAGGGCCGCACGCAGCAGAAAGCTGGTGGAGCTATGGGAGACGGCAACACGCAGCAGGCCGGTTTGGGGAAGAAGAGTGACCCGTCGCAGAAGTCAGGCGAGGAGGCCGTGAATCCTGCGGTGAAGAGTTGAGTGATGGGAACAGATTTGGGAGGCTCGATAGGGAGGAGGTATGAAGTTTATACGCATTTGGGAGCGGTCGAAACAAAAGCTGCTGGCATCTTTTACGCGCTTGCAATGTTACGATGGCATGGGCGGTATCCGGCATGGGAAAACAAGCAGCACGTGGTGGGCATGATGCTATTCGCTTCGGACGGGGGTGTAAGATATGCATGAATGATAACATCGAGATGATCTAAACGTCACGTTTAACGGCGCTTCTGATGCATGACCTTTAACCTCAGCCCAAGCGGACTATTGAGTTCAGGATGAGGCAACCGCTGGGCAGCAGGTCGCCCAACAGCATGAGATTTTACGCGAGACCGCCGGAGTAGGATGGAGAGAGGACAGGGACCTGTAAGCCTCCCGTACCTCCTCGCGAAATCAGCACACTCACGCATTCTCAGCCGCCGGCACTGTCTCGAGCGTCTTTTCGTTCTTCGGGTTGTGCACATGTCCGGCCACTAGACCGTACTTGCTCTTGTCGTTGTCCAAGATCAGCCAGGCGAGAATCATTCCAGCTCCTCCAAATGCGAACGAAGTGTAGAAGACTGTCTTGTAAGCTTCGGAATTGGCGTATTTGTATGCCTGTGCAGCTGTCGCATTGATCGCACTCGTAAGCCCAGGTACTGCAGACTGCGAGAGTGGACCGCTCCCTTGCAGCCCAGCAATGAGGGCTGGGACGCTTCTCGATGGCAGTCCGGCGTTTTCGGCCGCGGGACCTACGTATTGCGGTACTGTCGTGGTCAACCGATTCGCTAACACTGTCGAGTAGATTGAGGTTGCCAGAGCAGAGACGAAGGAGCGAATAGCTCCACTGAGGCCACCGGCGGTTCCCAGCTCTTCCTGAGTCCGAAGACGAAAAGTGGTTGTGGTGGCAGCGACTGCCTCACTGGCTCCAATAGCAAGAGAACCGGTCGTGATGAGGCCCATCGTGAGGGTGAGGTTCAGCGGGTTGGCGGCACAGGCGATGTATATTGGAGCGGCGATCCAGGTCATCGAAATGACCGTCCAGCGAGGGCCGATGACGGTTGCGAGGAGTCCACCGAACATCTGACCGAAGACGAAGCACATGGCCACCACGCCTGACAGCGTTCCGAGCCGATCGTAGGAGTCGATTGAGTACAGTGTGATCACCGCCTGCGGCCAGACCAACGAGAAGCCGTAGTACCTGAGCAAGAGTCAGTATGATGAGTGGGCAACAATGATCAAGCAGCTGACATACGTGGCGGCGCCTATGCCGGTGATCCACACGCAAGCCTGATACACACGGTTGGTGAACAGATGCAGCGGCAGAAAAGTGTCTTTGCCTCGACGCTGCAGCCACAACTCCCACGCTGGAAAGACGAGGAACAGGGCGATACCACCCGTGACGATACACCCTACCACATGCGGATCGCTCCACGGATACAGCTGTCCGCCCCAGCTCAGAGCCAGCAGGAACACCGTCAAGCTTCCAGTGTAGAGCACGAGGCCCATCCAATCGAAGTGCAGAAAGAGGTCCATCGCCGCCTTCTTCCTATGCAGCATCTTGAAAGTCGGAGGGTGGTAGAATAGGAACCAGCACAGAGCAGAAAGAGCATTGACACCGGTCATGAAGTAGAAGCTACCTCGCCATTTGACAGGCGTCTTCTGGAACGCAAATGCGATCTTCGCGGCCAGAGGGTTGGTTGGGATCGAGACCATGTACGCATACGAGTTGGCGACGTATCTCCATTTCATTGGAACCAGCTCTGAGATGACCTTGAAGGTGTCAGCTCAAGAGACAAGGAGCGAGAAGACGAAGTGGGAGCATACCCAGTAGAAGGAGATTTGAAAAGCGGCAGCGATCCCAATCAACACCTCAGCGGCGATGAGAGTATTAACGTTCTGAGCCACTGCTCCAACAATGGACCCGACCATGCTGATCAGGCTTCCGACAATGAACTGTTCAGGCGTGAGCGTTCCGTGAGGCAACTGCTGATTGACAGGCTAGACTTACAAACCATCTTCGCCCAAAAACATCTGACAACCTCCCGACAAGCAGGAAGAACACGGCTTCGCTGAGGATGTAGACGATGCTGACCCAAGCTATATTGTCGCTCGGGCCGATGTCGTCGTTGATGTCGTTCAACACCGGTGCAATGAGAGCATAGCCGCCTGTACTGGACATCAGACACCCGCTTCCACTTCTCAAACTTGGGGAGAACAACACGAGTTTACGTACCAGTGCCTCCGCAGAACCCAAGCCCAATGGCTGCCATACTGCCCAAGAAGCGGGACGACAGCCAGTACCCAGGAGCCATCTCGTCTGCATCACGACCGCGAGCCTCTGGTGCGCGGTCTTCATCATCATACTCTGAGCGGTATTTGTTGTTCGCCTGATCACCTTTCTCCAGCGAATCGCTTTGTTGTACCACCTCCGAATGCTCGAGCGTGTCTTTAGGTGTTTGAGCCATCGCGTATGAGACTTAGCTGTACAAATCGACAACAACGCAAGGAAAGAAATCAAGATATATTCACCGTCTCAACTTTGCTCTCTTCATCCTTCCGAGGGCAGCCCGATACACAGACTGATCTTCATGATCGTCTTTGCGTGATGCTGTTTTAAGAACTGGTTGCCTCGGTCGGAAGGCAGTTCCCCTTGTACGTACTCTTACCCTGTTCTGCCGCGGCAGGTAAGGTAATCTCTTCGATAATAAATCAACATCGTGGAACAGTGCCATGGGTGTGAGAGGGGAAATAAGAGCGGATAAATTCAGGTAGAAAGTCTTTCATAAGCATGCTACATGCTCAAATCATTTCGTGTGAAAGCTTCGAGCTTCACCTGGGTCACCCTGACATCAGTGTGTCCTGTCAGACCATCACCAGAACTAGCATGGACTCTTGCTCGATTGCGCCCAACGCCATCGCTGAACAATCTTTCGTAATCAAGCAGTAGCACTCGCACTCGTCGCAGTCGCGGTAGGCTTACCAACCAGCCACTCCGTAAAGTACGGGCAATTCCCTGCATTCACCGGGCCACCATTGCCGCAGATGTCGATGACGGGGCACCTGCCACACGGCGCCTCGGTGAGCCCATTCCCACGCTTGCTCTCCGCCGTCACTGCTTCGTCCTCCTCCACACCCGGTTCCTTGTACTTGACCCCTCGCGCGGTCCGGTAGCCTCCACTGATCGGCTCCAGCTTCTCATCCCACACCAGGATGTTGATGACCTTCTGGACTTCGTCGACGGTCAACGAGGCTGACTTGGCGGCTCGCAGCACGTTGGCACTGATGATGAATTTGTGGATTGAGCTTGCAGTAGGGTATTCGTGACCGCGGGTGTAGGCGAGTTGACTCCTGGCTTTGCGGCGAAGACGCTCGCGCTCTCTGCTTGTGGCGCCCATATCCTCGATATCATTGGACTTGACCGCAGCCCCGGTGCCGGTCTTGCGCTTCTTGGTTGGACGGGAGGCTCCTTCTTGATCATCGTCTAGGATCTCAATCGGCGACGCCACCCTCTTCGGTCGCTTCACCTTCTCCCTGGGCGGGTCGAACCAGCTCACCATGCGAACATGAAAGATGATGATGTTCCCCACCTCCTCCACAAGAGTCTCATCCAGAACGCCGGCATCGTAGAAGCTTCCGCCGGTGATGGTCTCGCTTGGTGCAAGGTGAGAGAGGATGTAGGTCTTCTGGTTCATGGCCTTGACATTTTTGACGCTTTTGATCAGCTTTTGCCGTTGCAGCTTGGCGACGAGCTTGTCCAGGCTGTGGCCATCCTTGATGCCGGTCCTGTTCTTGATCATACGAATCCAGACGCCCTCTTCTTGAGCCCCCTCCACGACCTCAAAGACCATGCGCTCATCCTTGCCGAGCTGACGGACTTCGTTGGCCACTTTGCGAGGTCGTACGGTCCATTGGGATCCACTGCCGGTCTTCAAGGTGATGATCAAGAACTGCTTTGACATGCGAGCCACCAGCGGCATCAGCTTCTCGACGTCTTTGACGTCGTTCAGCGCTTTGGAGTCGGCATCTTGGCAATACCGGAGCAGATCCTCTTGCTTGAAAATCTTCTTGTATCCTTCCGGGCAGCTGTTGGCTTCCTTGCAGCAGTATTCGTAGAGGTCTTCGCTTGGGTCCGCCATGGTTGTGACGAAGTCTTTGTTGCTGCTATCGATCGATCATGGATGTGAAGGTTCTGCTCGAAGTCGAGATCCAAGTGAGTCCTGTGAGTCGACAATATCGAAGAAGTTCGATTGTCGCTCTGAATTTGGGTGGCTTCGGAACCTCCCGCCGCTAATGTGGGCGTGAGAATGCGCTGACTGGACTTCAACTTCACTTTCATTCGACAATCGTATACCGCGACCTCAACTACTGTCGGGCCCGGATCGAAAGTTTGGAGGAATTTCTACACTGTCTACAAGCAGCAGACTGATTTCCCTTCCAGCGCATCCCAATCCTGCACTCTTCAATTCTGCATGCGGCAGACGTCGGTAAGTATCGTTTCGCTGCGAGCACAACATGGCATGGCCACGATAATCAGAAGTCCTCATTTGGCGAACAAAAGATGAGCAACATAGCCACATGCTTGCGACTTCTCATTTCATCCTCCTCTCGATTCTCCTCACACAACTCATATCTTCGGGATGCACCTCGGTAGGCCCCGCTTCCTGCTTCGAGCGAATACATGTGCAAGAGCCCCGATGCACCATCGTCAAGCACTCGTTCCCGCTGTTGTACCTCTCCGTCTCACTTTACCTTTTGCAGATCCCCAACTCCATTCTAGTAAAAGCAAGAAGTGTTGACGACAGATTGGCTGACACCCACCGAATGCTTGCGAGGGGTAGCAATGGCCGATTTTACTCGCTACCAGGACATCTCCGAAACGACCGCCGACCTTGACTGGGCCGACCTGGTAGCTATCGATCTTTCTCTGTTCGATCAACCGCGTGGCAAGCAGCGACTCGTCGCCAAACTCAAAGAAGCTATTTCGACCGTCGGCTTCTTTTACGTCACCAACTTTGGGCTCTCAGAAGCAGAAGTTGACGAGCAGTTCTCTCTTGCCGAACAGGTCTTCTCCCTTCCCGAGGGCGAGAAGCAACTGTATCGTGTTGATCCTAGCAAGCAAGGCTTCTTCGGCTGGAAACCCCGCGGCAGCCGCAAACAACAACACGGCCTGGTCGACTCCCTCGAACTCTACGATGACCCCAAGTGGAATTGTACCTTCAAACAAGAGTACTCGCGTCCATCGCCTCTCGCTGCAGCCGCCGAAAAGGCTGAAAAGTTTCAACGCCACCTCCACAACCATGTCCTCAAACGGCTGCTCATCCTCTCAGCGATCATCATGGAACTACCAGACGAAGAGGCACTCTGGCAACTCCACGACTACGAGTCTCGCTCCCAATGTCATTTACGCTACATGCTGTACCACCCGCGTACTGAGGCGGAGCTAGCCACCATGCGTAAGCATAGCATCGAGCACAACGTCTACGGGCATACAGATTTCGGCACCTTCACGCTGTTGATGCGCCAGCCAGTAGCCGCCCTGCAAGTCAGACCGTATGGCCAGGAGAAGTGGAAGTGGGTGAAGCCGCTCAAGCACAGCATCACCGTAAATGTAGCCGATACGCTGTCATTCTTGACGGGGGGATACCTGGAATCGAGCATCCACCGCGTGGTGCTCCCGCCAGAAGACCAGCGCCATTTGCCACGGTACGGCGTGATATACTTCTCTGGACCTGACGACAGTACCTTGCTCAAGCCGGTCGACAGCCCGTTGCTTCAGCGGGAGAAGGTCGAAGGCAACAGAAACCGCAGCTTGCCACCGGCCGGCGTCACAGCCGGCGAGTGGGTGGATGTGCGATTCCGAAGCATCGACAAGAACTACGCGAACAACAAGGATAACGAGGTCACTGTGAAGAGTGTTGAAGTTGCTAGCTATGCGTAAGCTATTCTGCAGACTTCTGTATTCGTTTCGATCGTGTCCATGCCGATCGTACTGTCCAACGCCCATACCGTGACCTGTCCCATGAGACGAACGCCACGCTGATAAATGATCATTCAAACACAGAATGAGGCAACGTAACTTCTCATCCATGCCTCCACAGTCGTGCCCAGATGCTAAAGATCCGCTATGACCTGACCGCCGCGCATGCTGTAGAGTCCGACTTCCGTGCTCTCATCATTCCTTCGTACACCACCGCATTGATCGCTACGTGAATCTACTTGATCCCCAAACGCGATTGTGTCCTACACAGCACTACCGCCTCCGAAGTTGTGCCCTCCACCTGCCATCTCCGTCGCAGCCTCGGCTTCGGCATCCTGAAGTTCCCGCTCGCGCTCACCAGCCTCCTTCGCCGCTTCGACGTCTTCGGCCATGTCGACGTCGCCGGCCGGCGCTGCGGTGGTGTACGATGTAGCGACTTCGGCACCACCGTCGTTCGCGGTCGCGGGCGCAAGACCGGGAGATCGTGGTGCGCTTGCGACGGGGGTCGGCGACCTGCCTCCGGTAGTGGCTGAAGCGGGCACAGCGAGATTGTCGGGGTCCGCTGCGCTTGCGGATGGATGAGGTGCCGCATTCTCATCCTCAATGTCTTCTTCCTTTGGATCCACCTCCATATCATCACCAGCATCGCTTCGATTGCTCACCTCTTCCAGCTTCGCAGCAGCCGCTGCTGCTGCAGCAGGCGAAGCAGTATTCTGCAGTCCTGCCATTGTGGCGGCGACTTCTGCTTCTCTGCTGCTCGCCCGTGGTGCGCCGTTCGACGCCTTGGCCTCGCTTGCGCCGTCCAGATTGATCTCATCCGCCTCAGCCTCATCCTCGGCATCGCCGTTTAAGCTCCTCGCATCATCATCCGCTGGCGTATTCAGCCCCGACTCGTCTGCTGGCGCATGCGGGTTCTTCCAGTCCATGATGCCTCGTCTCCGTGGCCTGCCAGGCTGCTTTTTGACGCCGACCGATGCGCCCATCTCCTCGTCTTCAGATTCCGACAGCTCATCATCGCGCTCGACCCGCTTGTCCCACAGTCGCTGCGTATACCTCCGGTCCTTGTTCGCCTCGTGATCGGCATCCTCATCATCCAAACGTGCTTCTTCCTCGTCGAAAGTCTCGTCCATGCCGACAGCAGTTCGAGGAACATCCTGCATCTGCACTGAGGGAGCGGCCGAAGTTGTGCGCTTCAGGTTGTCAAGGACTTGCTGCTTGATCTTCTCGAGGTATTCGCGCGAGTTCGCATTGTCCATGTTGCTGGGTCGCACGTCGAGCTCGAAGTCGGGCGCATAGTATTCGTAGTAGTCGGTGAAGGGTAGCTCGTTGCCCATCTCGACGCCGACCAGCAGACCCGTCTCGTACGCCCACGTGCGTGCAACGTTGCGCATCGTATAGCCACCTCCACCGAGCACCAGCGTTGGCAGGTTGAAGCTCTTGACAAAGTTGACGCAGTTCGCATGTCCACGCATGCTGAGGTTGAACGCACCAAGGCGATCTCCGCTGAGCGAGTCTCCGCCGCACTGCAGCACCACTGCGCTCGGCTGGTAGTACTCCATGACCCAGCCGATTGTCGGCTCGAAGATGTCCTTGTAGCTCTTGTCATCGATGCCGTCTCGGAGTGGGAAGTTGACCGAATAGTATTTGCCATTGCTCACGCCGATATCCCGCAGCTCACCAGTGCCGGGAAAATACTCGCCGTACTTGTGAAAGGAGACGGTCATGACGCGGTCGGTCGAATAGAAGGCTTCTTCGACTCCGTCGCCGTGGTGAACGTCGATGTCGATGTAGAGGACGCGCTGGTGGAATCGGAGGAGCTCGATGATGCCCAGGACGATGTCTATACAGAACACCAAGATTAACCGCGTGCGCCTCAGACGGCGGAAGGGAGCAAGACTTACCATTGATGTAACAGAAGCCGCTGGCCTCGCTCTTCTTTGCATGATGCAGCCCACCGGCCCAGTTTACCGCAACGTCGCATTTGCCCCTGTTCAGCCTGGCAGCGCCCTCCATGCTTCCACCAGCACTGATGCCGCAGAACTCGAACAAGCCGTCGAAAACAGGACAGTCGTCGCCGACGTTATACCGCCCTTGCTCTTTCGCGAACGCGTCCATGTTGTCGGGAGTGACGCGCTGCAGGAAATCCACGTACTCGTCGGTGTGGAACTGGGTCATCTCGAACTTGGAGGCCGGCTTCGCGCGGTAGATCTCGAGCTTCTTGTAGAGGCCGTAGTTCATGATGAGCGAGTGGGCCATACGTATACGGTGAGGCTTCATGGGATGGCCGGCGTTGTAGGCGTAGTTGCCCACATCGCTGTCGTAGAAGTAGGCCACCTTGCGCGGTTTGGACGTCGTCGTCGCCGAGCTCTCCAGCGGTGTCAGCGTGCCCACGGGACCGTATTGAGGCATGTTGAAGGACGGAGTGCTGGAAGGAGGAGGAGGTGGTGGTTCAGTCGTCTGATTGAGGTTCCAGCAACGAGGTCGGTTTTCAGAGGGCTGGTCTGTTGGAGTCGTCTGCTTTACTATACTGGGTCAGATTGGTAGAGCATGGTCGTGAGCAAAGATGGTGCGTCGAAGAGTGTCGTGTGCTTGAACGAAGGAAAGAGGCTGGCAGTGGTCCGGCGTGAAGAAGTGAAGAAGAGGATGAAGTGATGGCCGAGTTGAAGCTCCATCTTCCGCCAAGCCCTTGAGGTCCGACTTCAGCCCCGCAATGAATCGCCTTACAATGCACGAGATGGGAGACAGTCTACCTTACACCAGCATGCATGTGGTAGACAGTGAGACGGGAATGACTGACTTCGCAGAAACAAGTGATTGGATTGAAACGAGACTACTACTTCTTGACCATCGCATCCTTTCCTTCGGCATCCATGTCCCGCTCTTGCTTGCCAAACTGGCCTCGAGACGACCACTGCAGGCCCCGGTATGGGGTGGGCATCGTCTTCAAGGTCGCCACGCCTAGCTGTGGTGACTGGAGCACCACTTCCAAGAGCTCTTCCAGCCCTTCGACCCGCACCACGACGACGAGCTGCCCGCTGGCTTTGGCTCAATGACGGGGCCGTAGTCGCCACAGTCAGCCGGACTGGCCTTTGGACAGTCACAAGCAGTGCAGATTGACTGGAGCGCGGCGGGCTCAAAGCTCGGCACACTGGTAGCAGGTGCGCAACGATACCCGAACAATGCCATGAGCGCCTGTCCCACAGCGGCGGCATCGCTTTGGGAGACACCAAAAGACGTTGCAGCGAGGCCGACCTGCTGGATGAAGTACCCGACCTCGGCGGCGTCGAGGGCCATGAACTTGTGTACTTGGTACATTCCGTTGAAGCCGTCGTACGGCTTAACCGTGTTGCCGAAGACGCTGCAGCCGAGCAACGCAGCGAAGAACTTGTAGAGGTGAGTGAGGAGGAAGCTTGCCAAAAATTAGTCGATCCGATGACAGGCGAGACAAGTTGGGTTGACATACAATTGATTGCAGTTACGACAGTTGGCAGCCTTGTCGTTCATCAATGGCGCAGCCCCTCCCCCGTCGAGGAAGTTGATGGCGACACCACACTTGCCGCCACGGTTGGATGATGCGAGCTCGCCGTCGAAGTACTGAAGCAGGTTGACATTCTCACCGTTGTAGGTGCCAGGAGCGAGGATGCCTGGCACGGCGTTCAGTGCGCCCGCCGAGTAATTGCCGATGACCGCAGTGTTGACGAGCTTGTGGAGGAGTAGCTGTTGGTGGGCTTCCGTGTTGCTACCGAAGAGAGCAGTCGTGTACTTGTTACACAGGGACTGAGTTGCGATCGAAGCGCCTACAAGGGCCAGGCCAGGGATAAGGGTCGAGAGCTTCATGGTTGCTTCTTAGTCGGTCTGTCCGATTGCTTGAAGCAAGATAAAACTGAAGGCCGAGCAGAGCAAGGACGGAGCAGAGGCAGTACAAATAGTGCGATGCCATCTGAAAGGTGCCGCTTTCCCCACCGCTCTCATCTCCTCCTGTCCGGACGCGCATCCTCATGTCGCGGAAGTTGTCGACTCCGTGAAAGGTCGCGCAACAAAACATCTGGAAGCGGGCAGAATCCAAACTTCGTCTACCAAAAACGGCCAATGGCAGATCTCGAATTGGTAATCTCGATCCCAGGGTAGTTAGCATGAGTGCACTGAAGAGCTAAAAGACGGCTCGCGTGGTCTGGTCCAGACGTCCCAGGGCGTCTGGGGTAGTGATCGTCGTCGGGGATTTTGGAGCTTGTGGGAGCTTAGTAGTGTGGGCAAGGTCGTGAATGGACGAGATGAGTTTAGACTTGTAGTTATACTTAACTGTGGAGCCCGTGCAGGCATGCCGCCGTGACTGCGAAGATCGAGAAGGTGGAGGATGATCATGTTGGTGAAAAGCTTCGCGGAAGAATGCATGGCTGGAGACGTAGTGTGGAAGTACTCTCACCTATCAGTCTGCTCTGATTCGAGCGGATTGAACGGAAGTATAGCCTTAGTGGTCAATACTTCCACAGGAAAGCTCACAGCTCTCGTTACACGCAGTCCTGGTAGAACCTCGTTCTAAAAGTAGAGCAGAGCAAAGAGGCAGCTCCGCGTTCTCGGGCCACTGCTTGATCGCGAAGCACCTACAATCGGTGTAGGACCACAAGCGGGCAGGAAAACGAGGAGACATGCGACACATCGTGGGCAGCATCGTAAAACCCGCTCACTGAGTCGTGGAATGGAGTTGTGGTCTTGCTCCAGCAGCGGCCAGACGCCAGTCGCATCTCTGACTCCTCTGGACAAACTACTGCTAGTTCGAGTGACGCCACATGCAGCATTTCGATAGCGCAGGACCCTGTTGCCGGACGGGAGGTGTACGGTGCTCGACGGAGCCATAGATGTCACTCACAAGTCGGATCGGCCCGTTGTGCAATGGTGACGAGCGTGGTGCCTCAGAGTTTGAATTGCCGATGTCTCAGCAGGAGCAATTACGACGAGCAGAAGCTGGATCTGCGACCCCGCCCTGTGTTTGCATGGCATCAACAGCGAGTTGAGCTGTTTCCGGTTGTTTCCAATTAGCCGTATGGCCAGACTACTTCAGGTGAGAAGTGAACGCGCTGGGGGGTTGCAGGTGACCAGGTCCGTCTGTTCTATCGTTCGTGCATGAAATCTCTTCGGGGTAACACGCAGAAACTAAGTATTGTACCTCAGGAATCCTCCTGAGAGTCGCGAAAATGTAGGAAGAAGACCGAAGCTGGTGTCGGGAGGGCGTTCGAAGGTGTTCTCCAGTCATTGCAATGCTCGTCTCAACGGGCATTGTTGTGCGGCCCACACGTTGTGGGATGGGTGGCAAGCAAGATAGCTTTGGAGTTCTTTCGAGTTGTCCGGCGACATTCTCATGCGGAACAGCCATTGCATTCTTCGCTCTGCTTAGGCGCACTTGAAGAAGGGAGGCGGCTGCGAGTGTCGACCGGTATGAATGGAGTGCAGAGGAAGAAGATGTGGTGGTCATATCCGTGGAAGTAGCGTTCTGCCGGGCGGTGAGTGCGGAGAAGACTCCCGAGCACATGCCTTAGGTACCTCAGCAGCTTCAAGTCAACGTCAACTCTTGTCGCCTCCCACAAGCCACCCATCTCTCCACCTTCCCATACATCTTCCTTCCAACAAGCCTTCGAAAACACCACCTTCGTCCCTCGCGCTCTGCAACTCTCCCAATCGACCACGAATCCGCCGTACGCCGCAAACACCTTCCTCCTCCGCCTCCCAGACACAGCGCGAAGATGGATCGATTATCAAGAATGCTGCAGGCGGCGCAAGGCATGGGACAAGGAGGAGGCGGACCAGCACAGGTAAGAAGCTCTCTGCGCCAACCGTGACAACGTCTGTGGATGTGACAGCGGCGACACCTTCCTGCTCGTCTGCTCCGATTTTGGACTGCGCTTGACTGGATGTTCCTTGCGCCTGCTCTGGACCCACAAATGGAAGCCACCAGGCTGGTCTTCTTTTCCTGAAAGGCTTCACACCACGAGCTTCTGCGTGTCGAACCCATCATCCCACCAGATAACGCCGGCACGCCACGAAGGGCCCGCAGGAATGCCTCCAGCCAAGTGGACTTCGAATTGATCTTGGAGGACATGGACGCGAGAGAAAACGAGCGGCGTGTCCAGGCGCAACGTGCCCAGGATCATCGGCGCAATGTGGGTTTGGTCTGCTCCTGCCTGCTGCTCGCGCATCTGCACCGTCCAGTGCTGGAATGAGTCCTTTTACCTCCCACAGCGCATCAGCACACTCATACCCGCCTCTCAAACATCATTATGCCTCCACGACGCCGAAGAGCCTCCACCGACCCGAACCGCCTCCGGGAAGCACAACGCAATCGTGTTTTTAACAACTCCCGCATCTCTCGCAATCTTTCAAACTCGGGCCGGCCTCGCATCCCTCCCCAGCCTGTTCCGGAATACCGCGTCAACCGGACCCTGACCAGAAGCAATGTTGATAGCTTGTGGAAGTAGAATCAAGACCCATACTTACAATTCTTCTTATTCAGGATACCAACATCGTCGACAATGCCGAAACCGTGTACATCTCCTCGCTCGCCCTCCTCAAGATGCTGCGACATGGCCGAGCAGGTGTGCCTATGGAGGTTATGGGTTTGATGCTGGGAGAGTTTGTCGACGACTACACGGTCCGCGTGGTAGATGTCTTCGCCATGCCACAGTCCGGGACGGGTGTGTCGGTCGAAGCAGTAGATCCGGTATTTCAGACCAAGATGATGGACATGCTACGGCAGACGAACAGGTGAGAAATCACATCCTGCAGCTTTGAAGGCAGCTTTGAAGGCAGCTTGTGCTAATGACATTGATGCAGACCAGAAACAGTCGTCGGCTGGTACCACTCACATCCCGGTTTCGGTTGCTGGCTCTCCTCCGTCGACATCAACACACAGCAATCTTTCGAGCAGCTTACCCCTCGCGCTGTCGCCGTCGTCATCGACCCCATCCAGTCCGTGAAAGGCAAGGTCGTCATCGACGCCTTCCGCCTCATCAACCCGCAATCGCTCATGCTCGGGCAAGAGCCACGCCAAACCACGTCGAACCTCGGTCACCTCAACAAACCTTCGATACAAGCGCTCATCCACGGCCTGAATCGGCACTACTACAGCATCGGAATCGGCTACCGCAAGACCGCGCTCGAAGAGGCCATGCTTATGAATCTGCACAAAACCGTGTGGACCGAAGCCCTCACTATGCCCGATTTCGCAACAGAAGGCTCGCGCAATCAAGCCAACCTCACGAAGCTCGTTTCGCTCGCCGAAGGCTACCACAAGCGCGTGAAGGAAGAGTCGGAGCTCACGAAGGAGCAGTTACGGACACGATATGTGGGCAAGGTGGACCCAAAGAAGCACATCGAGACCGTAGGGCAGGAATTGATTGAGGACAACATCGTGGGCGTTACAAGGCAGATGATTGACAAGGAGGCTGGCGTGCCGAGCAAGGGGCTTGCGATGAGAGGGAAGGAGGGCGCTGCGAATGGCGAGGTGAACGGAGATGGGGCGATGGAGGTTGATGGGCAGTAGTGTGGCCTCGTCGCGGTTCAGTGATGGGATGCGTTGCCTTTGAAGCGGGTGGTGTCATGCATAGCTTTGGCAACTGGAGCTGGCTGCTCCAGCATAGCGGGGTGAATGATTAGACAGCATTAATGGTACCTCGATGGAACCTCGCCCATCTGATGCTCTGTGCCAACGGTCGATCATTCCAGCAACATACTGGACCTTCTCGTCGAGATTGCGACCCCTCGCGTGGCCCTCGCAAGTTGTCGACAATGAAACCAGCCTGCTTGGTCAGTGAGCCGACGATATTCTACCGGACAATGGCGAGAGCAATGTGGCCTTGATTCCGGGATCTGGTCTCGGAGAAGCGTGCAGGCATATTGCTTACCCTGTTTCACTGCCGGCAGCTTGCCCTCGCCAAGCTCGTGTGGGATGTCTACAAGGATAATCAAAGTCCTTCCTTCCGAGCGCTTCTTTCTATCCTCTTCCTGTTGTATTTCCACAATGTTGATGTATGGTCGTTGCGTGGTGTTGAGTAGTTCTTGGACAGCTGTCGAATATCGTTGCGCTTGTCGCATGTCTTTGGCGACAGCTTGCGTCTAACATGAGTGACGAGGTAGAGTTGAGCTATGGTTCAAACCTCAAGGACGTCCAAAGAGGGTACAGCACACATGTTGACAGCGAAGTTCTCACGCAGGATGAGAGAGAGATCCGTCGTATGGGTAAGGTGTCGTTATATAAGGTAGGTACGCATTCTGATGCTGCTCTCAGCTGAAAATCGCTGACATTGAATCAGCGTGTGCATCGTGGGAGAACCATGTTCGCGACCAGCACCTCCATTCAAGCCAGTTGGCAAGTCTCGTTGGCGTACGTATAAGATGCGGTTGCAAAGAATATGCTGATGGTAGGCAGATCTCTCACTCCTGGTCTGCTGAACGGTGGGACTGCCGGCGTGTTTTGGTCATTCATATTCACAGCCTTCCTCGGGCTGAGTAACGTCTTCTCGATCGCAGAGTATACGTCCATTGCACCCATCAACGGTGGACAGTACCACTGGCAAGTACAGCATTTTGAGAACATTCAGTGTCACCCCTGCATTTCATTCCGGCCCTGGCCGCCCTCTTCCACCCCAACTACGCCTCAACACCATGGCAGAGCAACTTGTGCGTCTTCGCGCTTGTGCTGCTTATCCTTGCCATCAATGCCGTGACGACGAAGCCTCTGGTGTACATACAGATGGCTGCGATGGTAGTTTTGTTCGTTGGCTGGCTGCCGCTCGTTGGATGCCTGGGCGGTCTCTCCCCTCATCCTAGAAGCTTCCACGACATTGTTACGGACCTCACTAGCACTGACGGCTGGGACAACCTTGGGATTGCGGTTTTGGTTGGTCAGATCAGCAACGTATATGCTTTGACGTGTAAGCTTAGCCATACACTGTCATGTTTGGGATGGAACTGACTGTGCTGTCCAGCTTTCGATGCCGCCGCACACATGGCAGAAGAGGTAACAAACGCCGGCCGGGCTGTTCCGTTGGCCATCGTCTGGAGTTATGTCGGTAATGCCACTGTAGCGTTCGTGGTAATCGCCCTCACCATGTGGAGCATCCCTGATATTGGCGCGGCCGTGGACAACCCAACGGGTTTTGCGTTCATCTTTCCACTAATGGAGGCTGGGAAGAGATGGGCGCAGGCGATCGTTGCCGTCATTACGCTCATTGCCTTCGCTGGATGCACAGGCTGTAACGCAGCAGCTTCCCGCGAAATGGCTGCTTTCGCACGTGATGGTGGTCTGCCGGGTTCCAAGTGGCTTGCAAGGGTCAGTGACTATATCCATTGTCTGCGGCAGGTCTGATTCTGACACGATCTGCTTCACAGGTCACAAAGCCAACCCATCCTCCTCGCAACTCCGTCTACGTCACCAGCTTCGTCACTGTTGCACTGGTCTGCATCAACTTCGGCTCCACCGTTGCCTTCAACGTTATAATTTCAGGCCAGCTCATCGCTCTCAACGCTTCGTACGCCCTGACCCACGGATGCGCGCTCTGGGCACGAGCAACTGGCCAATACCGCCGGGACATTGCGCGATGGAACATGGGCCCGATGGGCGCCTTTGTGAACATCGTTGCCTTCTTCTATGATCTCTTGCTGATCATCTTCCTCGCACTCCCGTCTGCGCCAGAAGTCACTCCTAAGACCATGAATTGGGGCCCCGTGATCTTCCTTGGTAGTACTGTTCTTGCACTATTATTTTACGCTGTCCTTGGTCGACACCAGTTCAAGGATCCCGGAAAGGAAGTTATTAGTTAGGAGAGTTACTAACCGTTTAGGACGGTCTAACGTAAGCAACGTACCTCCTCGGCTCGTAGTTCGCTTAGAGTAGGAGTAACGGTAGGTACGGTAATATCTACTTCTAGTATATTACAACATTAGCTTTAAGCTAGGAGATAGCCTTACTATAGCCTCGTCAAGACGTATTCGTAATTAGCCGTACGTATAGATTAATCAAACTTAAATATTATAACTTTAGCGGTAAGGTAAAGATATCTAAGACTATAGAGACGATTCTTATCTAGGTAGGTACTAAGATAGAAAATAGAACTTATTTTCTAATTGCAATAGTACTATTACTATATCTAGATACCTACTAATCTACTATACTTACTATATTCTAGTCTCTAGAGTCTAGAGAAGAGGGCTTAAGTATTGTTTTCTATAGTACGAGTATAATTTCTAGTAATTAGCTAAGATCTAGCCCCTTTTAAGCGACGGCTAAGATATCTACTTTAGCCTTGTATTATAATCCTATAAGGTAGTTTTACGTAATTAAGGTTAATCGTACTTCTTTAGAGAGTTAGGTAATAGGTAAATAAAGGTAAGGATACTAACTTAAGTCTAATTGGTTATAGACCTTTTAGTAAGATTATAATATAAGTTAAATATAAGAATATTAGAGATACTCTTAGTTCCTATATACCTAAGGAGTATCTAGTTAGTTTAGTCCTTCTCTAACCTATCTAAACTCGACTAACTCGAACTAAGCTAATCTAACTAATTAGGTTAGTTATCCCGTTATACTAGATACGATACTAATTAGTTAGTCTTAGGTACTTTCGATTAGTCTATTCTCCTTCTATAGGATAGTTCTATAATACTATCCCCTTCTTAGTCTAGCTTATCTCGAGCTTAATAAGAGAGTCCTACTTCCCTTATCCCTAGATATTTTATTATACCTTCTTTTTCTAATAAACGAAAAACTCTCTCCTTAGAGGTTAGACTAAACGGAATCGAGATAGCTCTATATACGTAATATCGAAACGTAAAGCCTTATAAGAGCGAGTCTCGAAAGAGATATATTATAGGTTCTTAGTCCGGTCGCTATTTTAAGTATATCTATAAGGGTTATACTTTATATAACGTAATAGTCTCTTAAGCTAAGTAGAAGAGACTATGGGATAGTTATAATTAGCTATAGCTAGATATTAAGCGCGCTAAAAAGTAAGAGGCTAAGCTACTTTAGTAGCTTTTGAAATATAAGACGCGTACGGTACGCCTTTATAAGTAGCTACATTAAGCTAAGCGTTATATCGACGTAGTAGGGTTAGGAGTAGGGTTCGAGTTAGTCGAGTTTAGATAGGTTAGAGAAGGACTAAACTAACTAGATACTCCTTAGGT